CACATAATAAAATCCGGATTTATATTTTCGAATTTTTTTTTTCCAATTTTTAGATTAACTATATAGTTTAGTTTTTGAATATTTAATAATTGCATAAGAAACGTTTTTTCATTGTGCATCTTTTGATATGACTACTATAACGTAATGTTTATTAATGACTGACTAAAAATACTGTACTTTCACGTTTAATATAATTAAAATATGCTCATTCATTTTTAATATTAGAATATGAAATTTATCAAATTTTGAAACAGATTTTTTTAAAATTACAAAAAAAAATATATTGAATGCACTTTTATATCTCATTCTCATTCCACGATTTGTCTACCTTACAGGCATATTTTTCCTTAGTGAGATGGAGCGAATATAACTGAGATGTATGACGTGCTATATGCAGCGCTATATGTTCAGTTCTCTATTGTCGAGCTTCAAACGTGAAATATATTTTTCATACCTACACATGCATGCATGTATTTATTTACTTATTCCATGCCGAAAGTTGGCAATGCACAACAATACGTATCGATTTATGAAGCCCTAATAACATCGATTGTTCAATATTACGTGTAGTCCTTTATAAATATGTACACATACATTTTTTGTTCTCTTTGTAAGACTAAAATGATTGTCTATCTTTATTTTCTTTTTCGATTTACCGTAACGTAGGGGCGGCTTATACCGGAAACGAAATAAGTGGTGGCGAATCCTAAGTTATATAACAGAAATAATAATAATGATGTAGCTTCGATGAGATTCGGAACCGTTGACCCCGAAAAAATCAAACTTTAATATCCATTTATACAATTACACTAATGGACAGCAAATTAATAATTAATCGAATGCTACTAAAATATATATAAATATATATTACCAATATGAAAATATAGGAGACACGTAAAGTTGCCGAATTTGGACCAACGCCTAGGTTGGACCGCTATTGTAACTTGATATGTATTTGTAACCAAAATGAGTTATCTAAACGTACAATTAAACGTAAAACTAAAACGTCATTATGTCCTTTTAAATTTTAATAAAATAAGTTGTTTAATTATGGTTGTTGTAGTTGCCTAAATTAAACCTATCCAATTGGAGAAAAGAACTAGAAGTCGATTGTAATAACAAGTAGCTCCTATAAATCTATACCAGTAGAATAAAAGGTGTGTTTTTTTTGTATGTATAAAAGGATATTTTGTCCACAACTTATTTAACTATATTGCTTATTGAAAAAATGTGCTTTATCATTATTACAAGTATTTTATCCAAAGAATGAAGATTTCATAGGAACAAAATAATAGGAAAATAAATGCATTTCTCATAGATAGTATCAAAGCTGTTCGGATCTTGAAGAGATTTGCTAAAATTCGAGCGATGCGACACGGATCGCATACAAAGCATACCCTATGTGTATACATGCATTGTTTCAGTGGAATTTACGCTCAGCAAATTGTACATAATCTACTTTAATTTGCTGCATATCTCCCATCTTCAATTTATTGTTCTATTAGTGCATTTATCCGAATATTCCAATCACTTCACATTAATACAATTACCGCTTTGGAATCAGCAAAACCGTTATTACCAATGCACTCCAATTATCATCTATTCAAGAGATATATTTTAACATACGCAGTTTTGCTTTTGCGGTACTTTTCATCTAGTTTATACCCGGCGCATACACCGCATCAAACGACGCGTGGTCTACGATAAAGTATACATAAAGCGTTAAAAACTAAACGCTAAATTCACTGTTTAATCAATTATTGCTTTAATACACTTGAAAACTATTGATTTGTACACTAGTTTCAAATATACACTAACTTTTACTGGGAAAAAAAGTATAATTGCATGATGGAAACGTGTTTCATCAAAAATTCTTGTAACATATGGTTTTTATTAAGTTATCTCACATTAATAAAATATCATACTCAATGAGGAAAAATGTTTCAACCTTTTAAATTATCATTTAATTGCAGAATGAAACCATATCTTTTAGAAAAACTAACATTATTGATTATAATTGTCAATAGAAATCAATAAATACTCATATATTTGTAATAATTTTATTACAAGTTTATAAAAAAAAATTGAATATTAACAATAATTATTATTAGTGAATTTTTAGAGAAACCACTAAAAAGACAAAAAAAAAATATTTTGACACAATGACATAAAATATTATTTAAAAATGGAACTGCTTCTGGCAATATAAGCCAACTCCTTTTTAGGTCATTTGAGCCACTAATTACGAAAGAAGAAGGGAAAATAAAGGACGAGAACTGAAATCATATTATTTTTCCTAAACCAATTTAAAATCCAGTTCGTGACATTCAGACATAGAAAATGCATAACTGGGTTACGTATATTCATTTTGATTAGCTGTCGCATAAATTTTGATTAGCAAAAATAACCCAATCAATCATTCGCATAAAAAAATTACATACATTTAAAATTTCTATTTAATAGGAAAAATGTTAACTATTTATTTTACAATAATAGAAAACAATATTTTACAAAGAAACAATAGGACATTATGATGAGACGTGTTTCATTTTACGTTGTTTATTTATTTCTTTATACGTCGCCTTCTATTTTTAAATTGTTAAGAAAAAATATATTTTTTTGTTTTATACTAATAAACAACATAATATAATGATAATTGCATGTGCTTCATTATACGTCGTTTATTTATTTCTTTAATCGTCTCGCTTCTAACCCGTTACATTTTCCAACTGTTCAAAAAATAAACATTTTTTTATGCTTTATGCTTTATTACAAAGAAATAATAGGATATAACAATCATAATACGTGTTTCATTTTACGTTATTTCTTTATACGTCGTTTTCTATTTTTCAACTATTAAGTGAAACATTATATTTCTATTTCCAATTGTATTTGTAACTAAGAAACAACCTAATATAATGATAATTTTATATGCTTCGTTATACGTCGTTTATTTATATTACAAATTCGATTTATTACAAAGAAATAACTGAATATTACTGTAATTGAAAATAAGTATTTGACGAAAAAACAATTATAATACGTGATAATTTCATGTGCTTCGTTATACGTTGTTTATTTATCAATTCTGTTCCAAAAAATAAATATTTTTTTTATTACAAAGAAACAACTGGATATTACGATCAATATATGTGTTTCATTGTCTATTCCTTTTTCTTTGACTCTTTGTACGTCGTATTCCTAGCACGATTACTATCTTTAGCTGCGCAAACGGAAACAGAAATTACCATCCGTAAGCTCTCCTAATTCACTGTAATTACGCTTCTCCATTGGTTTTTCCAATTTTCTCTACATCTTCTCTTTCTGTTCACTTTTTTTATATTTATTCAACGCAATTTAATGAATATTTCACGTAATCGTCGTTACGTGACAACGTCGTGCCGATGCGAAGGGATTCGTAAAACTTCGATATGTAATATTTTTTTAATACGCACGTATCGATTACAAAAATTGTTCGCTTCGATATTTGCTCATAAAAAAAATCTGAACACGTTTCCGGATTATTTTTAGAATACTTCAAACATGAACAACAACAAAATAGATATTTCTATGTATTCTATTAATACTTATACTTGAAAAATACACTTCTCAGAAATATTTCACTATTTTTTTTATATAATAAATTATGAGTTAATTATTATATATCCTTTATGATTTTGTAATTTGTATGAATCAATATATTTTTTTTTAATAGTTTTTTAAGAAATTATCAAAAACACAAATTAATTCTGCATTATTTCAAGAATTGGTTATTTTGTACTTACTATATTAGATAACTACAATTTAAGTTTTACTTAAAGGATAAATTGTACAAGTCTTATAGTAATAATGAGAAGCATAATTTCCTCTTGGATCCAAAAGCAGTTAGAGAGCATCTCGTAATTCCAAGGCAGCGTAGTTTATCACTTCCGCCGGATATGCGGCTAAATCTGGGTACTCCCCTTAAATTAACATTAAACACGCGTTTGTTTGCTGTTGCATCAAATTTGCTGACCATGCAAACACCATGTGTACTTTTTATTTTCATCCTCGCGTTTTCATCATTTTATTCTTTTTCTACCCCTTTCGGTTTGTTTTCTCTTTTGTTGTATCTGTACTAATTGCTGCACTCTCGATGATTAATTACCATCCCACGATGACACGGTGCAAAATAAATTTCCACCCTCGGGTTTTTCACTAATTCGTTAACCCTTCCTGAGCAAAAAAAATATGTGAATTGTGGATCTGAAAAAAACAGGTGACGCTATTTCCGTGTGGCAACGCAGGTGGAAATTCGTTGATACCCCAAAATATAAAAAAAAAACTAAATTGCCACGTTGGCAGAAAGGACAAACATTGAGCACGAGGCGTTAAATTAAGTTAGTTGGGCCCTGGTGATTCCTTTACTCAATAAATATTTATATCTACAAAACATCCTTACTCAGCATTTTTTTCTTAAAAAATACTTTTACTTTTTCGTAAAATTAAAATATAAAACTCAGCAAAATTTTTGCACAAATTATGAATATATCAAAAAAATGTAATAAAGCCAATTAATTAAAAATGCATATTATTTTGCAATGATAATTGTAGTAATCCAACCCTAAGTGGATTTATAATACCGCTAATTACCTGATCCCGGTTTTCCCCGGTAATAGCTGATTATGTCATGCTTAGGCCGGTTGTGTAAATTTGCATAATGCAGGTGGAGCCCCCATAAGATTACCACGGGATTCCGTTTGTCTAGTGTAATCCTTTCAACGCGACTGTTAATCTACGTTTTTGTACCGTCGTTAAGTGTTTCAATTATTCATTTTTCTCTTTATTCAGGACAGTTTCAACCCTTTCAAAGTCAAAATTATTTAATACTGCAACTACATGATTGCTACAAACTCTCACTGGATCTGAAACACTAACATAATCTTTGAATCACTGAATTATATAATAGATTTTTTGTGAATGTTAATTGGTGAAGATAATTGTTTTGTTTGTTTTTACAGGAATGCCCGACTGGAATGGTCGATGAAGAGGCTTTCAAGCATATTTTTGCTCAGTTTTTCCCACAAGGCGGTAAGTAATTTTTAATTACTTACTATTATCAAACATCAATTATCTTTCAAATGTTTCATAAGTTAATAGTCATTATTTATATTTATATTTTTAATTACTTAGTACTGTCCATTATCAACCAAACGTTATTAATTAGAAATTGCGGACGAACAAATTTGACCACTTGTTAATTCAAGTACCGCCTCTACAGAATTAACGTCAAAGCTTAATCTTTAAAATTGGACGGATTTATTCGCCGCTCGTCCGAAAATGGTTAAACACTTACAATTATTAGCCGTCAATTTCTGTAACAAATATTATGTTAATTATCATTGAATATAAAACAAACGTTCCATTAATAAGATTATAAGTTTAAAATAAATAACAAACTCAAATAGATTGATAGTCTTGTTTATCTTATAGTTAATTTTCATTCATAATGAAATGCATTAGTATTGATGGTAAAGTGCGGTGATAACTTGAACATAATAGTTATTACTATTTAATATTTTGCAATAAAGTTAAGCAGTAATCTTAAAAGTGGTTATGTATATTTGACATACGCGTTTGTAATGTGATCGTTCTCATAAGCTAATAACGTTGTCACTGAAATGAAAACGAAGCATAAGCCGATTACAGCCCAGTTTGATAAAAAAAAACAAGCTCAGAACAAACACAAAATAAGCTGAACATTTTGCACGCTCCACTGATTTCCTATTACGTGACTGACGGTGTTTCCTCAAGTGCATAGGTCACGATTATTCATGTTATATTTTAAACCTACCACTTAATCGCCTTTACTCAATTACGAAATAAATTATTCTTCAGACATATTCCCTAATAAAGCAAAGATCTGTGCGTTACTGAATGAATTTGAAATAAAAATTCCTGAGTTTTTATGATGTTACTAATATTTGTAAATACTTTATGCTTAAAATTGTATAAAAATATAAAGAAAATATTAACTAAAATTTAACGAATTTTATGGGAATATTATAAAAAAAAATGGGTCTATATCGCAAGCCCGACAACCGAAAGACCGTCTATTGAAAGCCCGATGTTCAAAATCCCGAGTGTATTGAAATCCCGAGTATATCGAAATCCCGACTACCATAATCCCGACAATCAAAATCCCGACTGTATCGAAATTCCGAATATATCGAAATCTCGACTACAATAATCCCTATAGTGTCTTTTATTATTATAATTTCTACTATCGAAATCTCGACTACCATAATCCCGACAGTGTCTTTTATTATTATAATTTCTACAATAACATTTTATATTATTCTACTATATTTTAATAGGTACGACGGATACTGAAAAAATTATTTTTAATTTCTACAAAACATTTTTAATTATTCTACTATATTTTAATAGGTACGACGGATACTGAAAAAAATATTTTTTTGCGATATTAATGTTTATTACAACAATAATAAATTTAACTTTTGCCCGATTATTAATTGTTGTTATTTATTCTTAATAACAATAAATAATATTAATTATTATTGTATTTTTTTTTACTGCTTGACTTATTCATTATAAAACTTAAGAATAAGAAATATTCTATAATAAAATTAGTTTATGTTATTAATAACAATTAATAATCTTATTAAGTTTTAGATTGTCGGGATTTCGATATAGTCTGGATTTTGATTGTCGGGATTATGGAAGTCGGGATTTTGACATAGTTGGGATTTCGATATAGTCGGGATTTCGAACGTCGGGATTTCGATACACAAGGGATTTCGAACGTCGGGATTTCAATACACCCTGGATTTCGAACGTCGGGATTTCAAACATCGGGATTTCGATAGACGGAATTTCGGTTGTCGGGCTTGCGATTGTCACCGATAAAAAATGAGGTGGATAATTAAAAATTGCCTTATATGGTCACGAGAACGTCACTTCTTTACGTTGCAGCAGTTCTAAAACGTTTAAACAATTCTCGACTGCGCACAAATCGTCTCCAATTGTCACTTTAAACAAATTCTTATAAGAAAAAATTTATAATAAACATGTAAAAATTAGTTTATTTATAAAACTAATTTATTATTGTACATTCATATTTTTGATTTAAATCAATATTCAAATAATTTAAATTTTTACTTTTTTTAAAGATCAAAACCGAAATATTAATAACGTTACACACAAATTCTGAAAAATTCAATTGTTGAAATTTATGAAATTTATAATTCTTATTTAATTTTCAAAGTTTTTACTATATTTCTTTAATATTAGATAAATATTCTTTAATATTAGATGAAAAAGTACCTTATAAGGGCATGAAAACGCGACTCGTCTGTGTCGCAATGAATGAACAACTAATGTGGAGACGAATCGTATCGAATTGTTACAACCAATCAGTTGCCACACCTGTGTAACGATTAATCATTACACCTGCAAATGTTTATATGTGCATGAAAATTAGTGCTTTTTGCTTCAAAATTTGTGAAGAAATAATCACTAAAAAACATACATTAATCGAGAAACCATTGTTTTATAAAATGGCGATTCACAAATTCCAATACTAATATAATAGCAATATGCAATAACGAAATCACTTACTTGACAAGTAACATGTATATTTATTTGGTAAAATACCCGCATCGCATCAATACAAATTCATGTTGAATACGCATTTAATTGTGTAAATTAATCAAATAATTGTACTTACGCAATCAGCGTTTATCTGAATTAATTGTAACCAATTTTGTGTAAAAAATCATTTAAAAAATGAAAGGAATCCAATGAATGTATTGAAATTAAATAGGCTAGACATTGAAATGATATATACAGTTTTTTATTGACACGAATTTTCTACACATCGTTTTTTTACTACGTTTCATTCAATTTCATGCATTTATCAATGAATTTATTTAAAAAAGAGAACCAGCGACATGGAAATTAAATATGCAGTTTCTTTTGTCGACGCCGGAATTTCGAATAACTTATTTTTTAAATCTTATTGTCTAGACCCGAGTGAAACCAAGAATTTACACACATCTTTTTTTACTACCCGTTTCATTCAAATTCTTTATTTTTTCACTATTATACATATTTGTTTATAAATATTGTTCTTAATTAAGCTTTAAATTAATAATTAATGTGAAATAATTGAAATATTGATAAAATTCAATTAATTAATAAATAATTTGTTGAATTAAAGAATTTGATTTTGTTTACCTACGTGAATATTACTATAAACAATTCGAGTTAACCTTGACGATAGAGCTTGTTGGGAATTGGCCTTGAACTGAGCACCCTCTTCATGATTTCCACCCTCCACCGCATCATGCGGATTTATTCTAATCAGTGCGTAATTGGTAATAAAAATTGTGTATATTGAACACATCATATTAAATGAATTAGCGGATTTTGAAATAGTGGATCGAGTATAAATCTAGTTTCATTGCTAGGCCTATTGATTCCACCTGTTACACAACGGTTTGCATATTCGTAGGAAGTTCGAGTGGTGTGATGTCAGGCCTCGAATCCGGGGCTCTTAAATCACGTTGCTCGTTGAATTTTCCCGTAGCAAGAGGTTTAAACCCTTAGGGAAAGGGGTGAACCCATGAGGGGCGTTGGGTAAATGTTAATTCAAGAGTTGGATTTAATTATGCCATTGTTGGAACGGCAAACACCCATGTCATCTATACACACCGTCGCAGTTGCTGAATTTAACTTGTTTAAAACTATTACCTTAAGTTAAGTTTTTTTTTGCTCCATAGTTTACTTTTGGGATTAAGGGAAGCAGTCGCTCGAACTTCAACAATCTAGGTTCAACTTCGTGTCTCCGGCGTGAAAATTAAAACTCATCGGTAGTTCATCGAAAAAGTTGTTTGCACAACGTCGGAAATTTTTTGTTTTGGATTCATGAATTCAGCAATTGTTGGAAACTTTACAGCTTTTCACTGGAAATGGAATTCTAAAAATGCATGGAAACTTTATAGGGGTAGTTTTATATTGAATTTGCATATAAATTGTTCTAATTAAAATGAGTCGTTACTGAGTATGCGAATATATTGCATTTTCAGTTTTGACAACTTATTATAAGAAAATAGTAAAAGTTACAAATCTGACAGAATAAATCTGCCTTCAAATACCTTACGCACTCTGTATAATTTACAAATTTGGTATTTCGTTTGTGACAAAGCAAAATAATCTTCTTAGTAGAATCACTAAGTTATCTTTATATGTTGTCAAAGCAGTCCTTATATATAGGATTTAATCCTATTGATTTACAAAGTTTAAAATAATCTAAGAACAAAGTATATTAATGCTTACAAAGAAAATAATCGCATTAAATCTAAAAGCCGATTGTCGTGTAAAACTTGAATCGAAATTATTTCATGAAAATATTAATTACGAGCGGTCGTAATTGAATGTAGCCGCTTTTCCCGTGTAATGGAAAAAAATAAACTTCATCCTGACTCACACGGTAGGGCGCAGTTCTTAGAGTTACAAAATAAAATATAAAAGCAAACTAAGAGAAATGAAGAGAAAAGAAAAGTTTACAAAAAAAAAGTATACAGTACGCTCTGTATCAGAGAGAATAATAAATTTCCGGAACGCAGATTAAAATCTGTTCCATTTAATTTCATTTAAGCGCCTAAAGGATCGGAGACCGCAAAAGGACTTTCATCGCTCGGATATGAAAATCCTGCAACAAAAAAAAATGGAATATGAATTTCTATTCATTTCTGTTGTTACTTATATGATAATATTGAAGCTTATATAACTAAAGGATGAAGGCTGCAAAGGACTGCAAATATCAAAACATGAAAAAGGATGAAAATTAAAATAAAAATGTTTCGTTATTTTTATTGTTTTTTTCACAAATCTTCAAAACTACTTAATTTAAGCAGTTAAAAGACTATTGTATGAAAATCCTTTCATCGCAGGATTTAAAAAATGATTTTTTCTGTTGTTTTAGTTGTAATTATCGGAATATAAAAATCCTGTGTGGAAAATATAAATAAAACAATTTGTATTTGTTATTTTTATATGAAAATCATAGAGTTTCCAATCTTTTTTTCTCTATTTTTTAATAGTCTAAATTATTGAATTTGTTATCGTTGTTTCTGCTAAAATTGTATGGAAATATTGCAGCTTCAAAACTATTTTTTTTTTCAATTTTGTTTTTTATATTTTATGCGTCGTGTATATGCACATATGTAAGGTTACGACTTTTTATTGATTCAAAAAACGCGGCGGCACGCTGTGCCTTCAACAGTTCTATTTTCATAGTTATATATTTTTTTTGCCACCCATTCTGACGCCGTGTGGCTCATTTGTTTCCCTCGTCTACTACTATAAATGCATCGATATAGTGAAGCAACAGTTTCGCAACAACGCAGGGGAAAATGCATGGAAAATTAACGACAAACCAATAATTTCCATTTATCTAAAATTAGTTTCAACAAAATATTCTACATAATTTTAAGATCTATCTTCATTGTCATTTTAATTATCTTGAAACTTTTCTTATAGTGAAAGTTGTAAATAATTTTCAAAAATATCTCTTAGTATTTTGATACCACAGACAAGATCAAAGCTAACCTAATTACTGGACCTAAATGACCTATAGCATTTTGTTTTGTAGAGGATCGCATTATTCTTAGTGGACAAATTTGTTAAGACAACCCTGGACAAGACAATTCATTATTTTAAAGATATGTATGTGTAAAGAAGATATGTGATGTCGTTTTTCAGAGTCAGTGAGGGTGCACCATTAGATAAATGTTTTCCATATAATGCCTAAAATAAATACGCGGCATCATCGAAAATGTTGTTCAATCGTGCAGAAGTTATTTTAATTAAGTCTAGTAATTAGTGACACATCCCTTTTACGTATTGTGCCCAGTAACAAATTAGAAATTTAATTAAAATCTCATCCCATGTCATGCGTGCTCCTTCAACGACGTATTATAATGTTCCTTATGTGTTAGTAGAGAAATTAATGAAAATCCTGTTTTCCCATTTGCCTCGCGCATTTTCTTTTTTTTTTATTTTGATTCCTTTTCCTCGTTTCCGTGCAATTTTTTTTTCTCTACCCAAATAATTAATTAAGGTGAGAGCCATTAATTTTTCTCACCGGTTCGCAGAACTTTCATGTAAAGCGCAGTAGGATTTATTCGAATGCCTAGGTTTATGCAAAAAAAAATATGAGCCGCTATAGTCTACCGCCAAGATCAATAAGAAAGTACGCTGCCGTTTAATTAAAGGGTTTTCAAGACTACGAAACTTTGATATCAATTTTTTTTTCATTCCGGAAATTACAAAAACATATTTACAACTAATGATATAATTAAATTGATAATTTTAACACAATAAAATGTATCATTAGTCAATCACTTTTAGATGATTATCTTACAATTAAACATATCATAAGTTTATAATTTACAACAATAAAATTATATATTTTATATATCGATCACTTTTGTGAATTATTAAGATTATCTTATATCTAATGAAATCATAAAGTTGAAAATTTGTAAATATGCGGTAGACAAATTGTAAAGGCTTTGGTATTATGTTACTAGAAAACTTGATCTTTTATGTAAAGGGGAAAATAGTGGAAGCTGTAGTTAATTGCAGCCTAAATGAATGTCCGGAGGCGGAGAACCATATTCAGCTATGCAAGATGTGTATGGCATCCGAGAAAGACGTAACGCATACTACTTTATTAAAATGCCAGAGAGTAAAATGATACAGCTTATACAAAATCCCCTGTCCAATATTCCGGCCTTTGTCAATATTTATCTAGTCCGAGACAAACCCTTCTATCCCAAATTTATATTATTTAGTATTATATAGCTCTTCCATCTTTTGCACAGAAAAAAACTAACTTACAGAGTGCCCATCAGGATTATGGTTCCGTGTAATGCAATTGTCTTGTAATTAAGTAAAAAATAATTACAATGGTTGTAAGGCACGGAACTATGATTTATTCCCACTAGCATCTCTAAAAAAAACAAATTTTATGTTTCAACTAACACATTTGAAGACTTTGATGCGTTGATAATAACGGAAGATCATTTGTTTCAGATGCTACCAACTACGCCAAGTACGTTTTCAACACAATGAAGCACAAGAGCACTGGAAAAATAAGCTTTGAGGTAAGTTTACTTATACAACTTTCTAATTTAATACTTTAATTTTTTTTACAAAGTGTTAATATTTAGAACATAATATTTTTTACTCCAAAAAAAAAACAGAAATGCAATTGGTTTAGCATATTTTATATAAATTTAACTTGCAAGTTATGTACTTGCTTTAACAAAGAAAAAATCATAATCTGTTCAAAAAAAATGTTATTTTGAGCGTACTTTTGCGTGTATTATTATGCATTTATGGAGAAATTATTTTAAAGCTAATTCTCAGGGATCCGAAGGCAAAGTGTATTTGAACCTATTTTCTCTTTTATTAAAATAAAGTAATTTTCATTTTAATCATCATGTATTGTTATAGCAATTTGCGCAACTTTTGTATACAAATAGTTGCGCAAACAGCGTGCGGTTACTGTTGCATGCAAGTATGTCATCTGAAGCTAAGTGATTCTTAACGTTCTATTTGTAGTACGTTACTAACGATAATGATGACAGAGGTCTAACAAGACTTCATCATTTTTCTTCGTCGTGCCTCGTTTTCATCTCAAGGATGTATTAGCTTCATTATCCTTCTTCTGTTTTTCATGTTTTTCTCTATATTCATATTTTTTTTTGACATTTTTGATTTATACAAATCGTCCGCTGATGATCCACCCTTCGAGTGGCCGCAACAAGTGCCTTCAACCCCTCTGCCACCACCGTTCATTCGCTTTCATCCCTTTTCGGAGGCGATGTTTTATTTGCAGGCCGGGCGCGATTTATTTCGACCCACTTAATCCCCAACCCTACAAACTTTTCGTATAGAATTAAATTAATAAAGTGGAGCCTCCAATGCACTTATTTATGCTCTGACGCCCTTCCCTTTCCTGGGACTCCGCCAAATCTTAAAGTTGATTATTAAAACTCCTTAATAGAGCGAAAGTTTGTTCTTGAATAGTTATGGCCTTCCTGAACCTATGTAAACCATGCCTTCACAAACTTTTAAAGATCAGTCAAACTCATGATATTTAAATCCACGTTTAATACTAAGTTAAAAAAAACGAAAATATTTTCAACTTTATCAAAATTTTATACAACTGAAATGAAACCGAAAAATGAATCTAGTGCAAATGGAACATGCTGGGAATTCACCTCCAATGTTGTGTTCACATCTCTATGGTCGGAATTGAAGCCACAGTGGGGCCACGGTTTTCAGGTCCTTGCAATATTGAAACAGCAGGTCGAGAGTAACGTTTATATACTTTGTTTGCTCAAATCCGGAAAATTGCATTTTGTTTATATAACAAATATTTGTAGATTGAAAACTTATTTCGTTAAAAAAATATATAAGATGATAAGTCTAAGTGAAATATAAACTGATTTTCAATTTCAACAAATAAATAATCTAAGATTTCTTTACAATTTGATCAAATTAATTATTTTTTTATAATAATTATTTGCTTATTAACAAACATTATGCATTTATAGAGAAATCATTTAAAAGCTTATTGTCAGTATATAATAATGGGATCTGACACAAAGTGTACGTTGCTATGAACGTCGAGTACGTTGTTGCGAACAAAAAAACACATATCATATGTACATTCATTTATATAAGAATAAATCATTTGCTTAACGTACGGTAATTTGTATATACACAATGTACGTTAGCTGAGTTATATCATTGAATAACTAATATTCTCCTACAATAATCAGCTAATAATCTTGTTCACTTAAGATGAATTAAATAAGATTGAGTTTTAATAATTATACAATTATTTATTTATAGTCCAAGTAATTAATATCAACTAAAAGTTGTCAAGTATCAAAATTATAATAATAATAAATTTATATGAAGGATTAAGGGAACAAGTTAAGTAGTTTAATCAAAGTTGAAGGTAGTTAAACTGTTGACCAAAGGAAACATCACCTGAAAGGTCCTAGAGTTTGTGCAGACTCGAATCCCACTTGATGCGAAATTATTTGCGAGCGATCTTAACTCCCAACGGACTTGTTGCCATATCCAAGGGCACAGCTCACGAATTATATAACCGCAACTAGAAACACGTACTGCACGAAGTACGTACAACATACGAAGTTTTTATTCTCTTCTACACCAGAACGAAACTACACGAAGAAAACACAGGCACATACATGTTAACACAAGTTTTACTGTATTCCGCAACCTTTTTTTTCTGTCCTTCTGTTTTTTGTTTTGTTTTGCGTGCAGATACAAAAATATAGGGTGTTATAAAAAAAAGGTTTTTACGCTCAACCCTCTAACATTATAGTAAATTGTATGGACATTCGTAAGACGATACAAAAATTTGTCATTCATTGCTTATTGTAGGATACAAACAAGAATGTTACAAGTATACAAATAAATAAATTATAAACGTAAATATTTATGTTCCTACTATTTATTGCAATAAATATATTATATATAACTTTTAATTTTGTATTTGATTCTCATGCATTTTAGTAGTATCTTGTTATAAACCGATTTACCAGATATAATGGGTATAAGTTTAAGTAGTTATTAAATTATAAATGCATTTCCCTTTGATCTTTGTCTTTGCATGGTCCTTGTATTGATTTATGCTATTAATACCGAAGACACTCAGACCCGAAAATGCCACCTCGTACATTTTTCGTAATTCATTACCGATCGGACATTTCATTACAAAAAAAAAGAGAAATATCCTCTTACATCCATATTGATGGAGCAGAATCCGTTGCGAATTTCAATTCCTCGCCTTTGTGTTGTGGCTCGAAATCTGGAGATTACCTATTTTCTGAAATACGCACCGGATTTGCAAGAGGAAATTGCGTGAAAATCCCGAACGAGGCACACGACTGTAAACATGCCTTACCGAAGTACAGTTCTCCTCGGACTCACGGAGTCGCCACCGGCAGGAAAAGCATCGCGACGCTCGCAACAGGTATTTCATGGCGAGAGAAGAATGCATATTAACTTCCCAGAGGGGTTCTCTTATAAATGGACTTCTCTCAACTTTATATACTCTTCATTACTTTACCATTTGTACAAAACTCTTCCAAAAAACTACATTATCTTAATACTAGGTATTTCTAAATATAAAAAAATATTGTTTCTAAATAAGTATAAAATATTTTGATGTGTGTTAGAATTTATTTAAATATTCTGTTCAAAATGCCTGGATATTATTGTTTTGCTTCAAGGATTTCCTCAACATCCTGTCGAAAGTGTCCAGAGGTACTGTGCAAGAAAAAATGCAATGGGTATTTGGCCTCTACGATCTAGATGGAGATGGGATGATAACCAAGAACGAAATGGTGGATGTTGTCACCAGCATTTACGAGATGCTTGGCAGATCCACTCAACCCGCGGTAGAGGTTGGATCTGCCAAGGAGCACGTCGAGAAGATATTCCACGTATGATAATTATATCATTAACTATTACTGAAGATTAATGCATGGTCTTCCTTGTAATTCCAGTTGATTGATTCAAACAAGGACGGCGTCGTGACCATCGAGGAGCTCATCCAGTGGTGTTCCCGTGACGAAGAGGTACTCCGCTCGTTGGAGACGCTCGATACCGTTCTATGATTGAGCATGTCTCGTGTAAATCTCAGAAAATCTTTCGGCCGTCAGAAAGTAATCGAGTTAAACCTATGTTCCGAACATGTTTTTGATCTTGGTTTGCAGCAAAGCGACGCCCAAACCGCAGAAATGATTGGTAAGAGAGGACGAGCTCGTAAGCTCATCCTTGTCTTTAGCGTCGGGTGCGTCCTCCGTCTTAAAAACTGGTTCTTGAATATGAGTTGCCGTTCCGGATGTCTTTGCATTCACTAATTTCTTGAAATTTAACTCTTCTCTACATTTAATCACATATTTGAAATAATAACAAAAAAAAATGGAAAATATTAAATCAAAATACAGATTTATGGAAACTTTCGGAAATTACAAAAACGACCCCTAATTCACATTTTTATATGTGGAAAGACTAGAGATATTTCAAAACGTATACAAACCTTACCTAATTGCTTCAAATTTGCACGAAGCTAACGAAAAAAAACTTGATTTAAGTATCGGCTGTCCACGTTATCAATTAACCTTGTCCTCCATCTAAAATTTTGTAAAATAGGGGTCCAAGAAAAAGTTTGCAGTATTTTGAAAACCATTTCTGTAGAAATTACTATATACAAGTATTGTTGATGCAAACAATAGTGTATTCAGTTTAAATGAAACACATCTAATATTAAATATAAGATTTTTTATCAGTATTACTTTATACTTTTTTGTATTTTTCGAGCCTGTTTGGAACTACGCAATGTTACATTAAGTCTATATATCCAAATCTTGTTTATATTGTACATTTGACCCACACCAACATCTAGTGAAACATGGTTATCTCTGTATGTTAACTGACTGACGTAATAATTAAAATATACGTTTCTCTTGGTTACGTCATTCTTTAATTAGTTAATTTATTGTCAAATCGTAGTTTTCTACTTCTCTCTGGATGTGTATAGATAATTGTAGACTTGTATAATCAATAACATTTAGTATAACAAAATTGGTTGATGATAATACAAGCTCTAAAATTAAAAATTAACATATTTTATATAATATAAATGTCTATAATTATTAATTAATTAATTAGTTACAAATCTCTGGCTGATGAGTATTTGACTATGTACTAATATTTCTTAATTATAATATTAATTAAGGTGGTAGTCAATACTTAAATATTGAATACAACTTATAAAATATGTAATATGTAGTTCATATATTCCAAGTTAAGTATTAGTAAATATAATAGTTTAGGTTGTAAGTATGATATAATTACTACCCATGACTAAACCAGAACTATCTTTGTATATTTAGTTACTTTATTCTCAATATTATAACTTAGTAACTTAGTTCTAGTTATAATACTAAAAAAATGAGTCATAAACTATATAGTTATAAAACTATAATTATAAATATTTATTTATGATGTGTTTGTGCTTATAGTTTATATTAATTAAAGAATTAACTGTGAAACATACAAAGATAATCATTCTTTCAATTAATATAAGTTACATTGTAAACAAGTAATATGTTTTCCAAAATGAGCTCATTGAGCAAAATAGTTGCGTATTTTCAAACAGGCTTGGGATTAATGTTAGGAAGTTGCAAGTAACTTTAGCAATGTTGGCTGCTTGCACATATACTAATAAAACAATATGTCCTGTTATAAAAAAATATATATTTCAACACTATAATTAAGCAAGCATTAATATTCTAAGTAAATATTACATATTTATTAACTACACTCTATGTACCTTCTAGAATAATTTTAAAGCAATGACTCTCTGATAGGAAGAATTCGGCAGGAATGAGATAGATTTTGGGAACATTTTTTTGAGATAAAAATATATATTTATATATATATTATAATGCGTTGTTTTTCAGATTTGAGGTTTTATGGAATTGTTACGATGGTTGGTCAAAGTTTATGAAAAAAATATAGGAAAGATGAAGTGGCAAAAAAAAAATTGAGAAAGTGATTCTACCGAATTGTGATTGGAGACTGTATCCGTAGAAATTCACTATCTATCTATAGCATTTCTTCTATGATGTCAATAAACTAATTTATCTGTCTTAATAAAAACATAATATGTACGTAAATCTTGTCTCTGTTTATTTAAAATCCCTGACATTTTCATCGCATCCAACTGATTGCACCGAAAAAAAAATGTGAGCTGGCTTCGCTTCACAGTTGGAGTAAATTACACTGCGTCTACCCTTGTTAACATATCAGAAACGCAATATGGTTGCTTCGTTGAATCCCCTTGTAACAGTCAGTTGTAAATGGATGAATAATTTCCTTGAATTTACATGTATTGAATGCTTATACACATGGTTTATTTAAATGATTCCGTCCTCCCTTTCAATCAATATTAACTTAAGCTCCAATACTTCGAACTGTTCAATTGTAACTGTTTTCTGATAAAATGTATTTCAATCAAGCTTATTATTGGTATAAGCTGATAAGTTAAGATCTTCTGATTGTCATCGGCGTTGATTCACACTGCGTGTAGATATTTCCCAGTAAGGAGTTTTCTTGGTAATCGTTATCGAACGTCCTTACAGCGTGATAATTCCTTTTAACTGTACTCCTTTTCGAGACTCCTGGACATTCCACTGTACAACCTATGATTATCCCTATGAAGATTCCCAAAGATAAACTGATGATTATCGCTAATGTAGGAGATAGTTCTATTATCTCCAACAATAGACTTGGCTCAACTACAACATCACAAATTGGACACTCGGTGATATTATCTTGTTTCAAAACTTCATTAATAATCCAACTGTTTTGTTCCTTAGGTTTTGCCTTTACCTCAATAATCCTTTGAAACTTTTGTTCCTTCACTTGGCAATAGTTATGATCCAATTGGATCTGATTTATTGTGCAGAATTTATTGAAATCCGACACTTTCTCGCATTTGATCATATTATCTTTGATATCGACAAACTTAATAGATTTCTGTGCTTTTATTACGTTAGGATTTAATTGTAACAAGTAATTGCCTCTAATATCCAAGTGTTCTAAATTTGGAATCAGAGACAGAACATCACTGTGCATGTATGGTATTTGGCAACTTGCTAAACCTAACACTTTCAATGTGTTACTTTCAAATAAAGGCTGTTGCTTCAAATCACCTAAGTTGTTATTATTCAAGTAGAATTCCTCTAGTATAGGTAAATACCAAAACCACTCCATAAGCACGTACTGGAGAGAGTTGTAGGATAGATCTAAAGTTTTCAAGTTTTCCATACCTTGAAACGCATATATTCTTATATCCTGTAACTTGTTATGGGACATGTTTATTAATTTTAATGACTCCAAGTCTTTTCTCTGCAACGATTAGTATATTATTAACAACATTTAAATAGTTTTTTATATTACCTCAAAAGCGCGATTGTTTAGTATTGTTAAATAATTAAAAGACATCTCTAATACCTCCGTGTAACTAGGAACATTACCATCTACATTCAGGAGCTTCGAGTTATCACAGTTGGCTCTTCTTAAGCCTTCATAAAGGTCACAGTAGCAACTTGAGGTACAATCGACCTCAATCATCCTGCCATGCACTTCTTTGTAGTACAGCAGCATCACCAAGATGAACCATTGTAACATATCTATGGTACACTTGAGAACTCATTGAATCATACGAATAAACTACTACATGATTCAACATACTTATCTTATCACAAGTTTTAAATTAATTGTAAATAATCTTATCTGTGGGAAACTAAATAATTTATGTTAATTTCATATTAAATTCTATTGAGTATAAATGTTTTTTATATGTTTTATTCTCCTTTCTTCCCTTAAATTTAATAATAAGTGCAGTTGAAGAATTTTTCAATTCGTAGGATTTTTTTTTAAATGGGATATATACGCAACCCATTTTACAATTATGTAATTATTTGTAGCATGTTGTTAAACAAAACATGAAAACTATATGTTTGTAGTAATACGTAGAATATGTGATTATTGAATGATGATAGTTTGGTTGCATACTTCGCATTAAAAATCAATACATTTTTGTCCTTACATAAACTAAGAGGATTGGAAAATATGAATACTGCCATGAAAATTGCGTTCTTGGATAGAATTGGAAAATAAATAAATAAAAATCGAATTGTATGATAAAATTTTCTTTAAAATAGATTATATAAATTTTCAATGTAAATATAAAATAAACTGTTTTTTGTATCATACCAGTTTCGTTCACATATTTGTCTCAAATCTCGCGCAACTCCCGCAGGTATTAATAATATATATTATACATATATAATCTGAAAGGCACATTTCTTTGTACAAAAACGTTTTCAATGTAAATACAAAATATACTGTTTTTTGTATCATACCAGTTTCGTTCACATAATTGTCTCAAATCTCGCGCGACTCGCGCAAATATTAATAATATATACTATACATATATAATCTGAAAGGCACATTTGTTTGTACAAAAACAGTTTGGAATGAATTAGATTTTGGCACTGTAACATCAAAGAACACTCGTTAAACAATGCTTCTAACAGTTGAATAAATATTCTTAATAAAAATAGAAAATAAAATTATAAATAATAATAATAACTGTTTAGTTATCAATTATAATATAAAACGCATCATTCAGTGATTCCTTTCGGTAATCAATTCTTTGATATTAATATAATGACTATCACTTGAAAATAATTCATAGAGGTTTGCAAAGGTCGGACGTTTCTCCGCTTCGTATTCCCAGCAGGAACGCATTATTTTGTAAATGTGATTTGGGCATTTCTCCGGCTGTTCCAATCGTTCACCGCGTGTAATCGCTTGGATTGCCTGAATAATATAAAACATCCAGTTAAATTAGTATGTTTTTAAACATGAAATACGTTACCTCTGCTCCTTTCTGTTCGCCATACGGGTGTTCCCCGAAAGAATACATCTCCCATATTGTAACTCCAAAGCTCCAGACATCACTTTTGTGCGAGAAATTGCCATAGTTGTAGGATTCCGGAGCGTACCATTTCAAAGGCCATTTACCACCCGTCTTAGCTCTAAGATTATAAAATTAATCGTTAAAAATTTCTAATAAATTACAGATCTTACGTGTAATATTGGTGGTCAGCGCCTAAAGCCCTGGATAATCCAAAATCACTAATCTTGGCCTTTTTAGCTGACGCTAAAAGTATGTTTCTGGCGGCTAAATCGCGGTGAACAAACCTCTGCTTCTCCAAATACTGCATGCCTTAAATGAAAAAAAAATTGATACAAATTCTGTGTAATTATAATTTAAAGTCATATTTACCATGAGCAATTTGCGCAGCCCAAATGATGAAATCCACCTCGGGATTAACTTCCTCCCTCTTTGTCGTTATGTAATGCAACATACAGTCATACTTCATCAGCTCCTGCACCATGTATAGAGGGCTTCCAAGAGAGACGCCGATTAACTTGACAATGTTCTCGTGGTCGAGCTGCATCATCACCTTGGCTTCCCTCAAGAAAGACTCGCGATTTTCCTTGAGCTGATCATTGCGCAACGTTTTTATAGCCACGTCGATCTTCTCGCCGTTCGGCTGCTGATACTTGCCCTTATACACCGACCCAAACTCACCCTCGCCCAAAATCCAATCCAACTCAATCCGATCTTTTGGTATATAGTCTTGGGTCTCTTCGTTGTTGTTATTAATTCTATTTTCGCTAAGTTCCAAATTGCTCTTAAATGTAATATTAAATATATGATTCGGAATTGAATTGACGGTGTTCATTGTGTTTGAGGTGCTCGGAATCTGCGTCTTCTTCTTTTGTCTGGGAATCGTCTTGCACTCTGGTAATGGTGGTTTCGGAGTCGGACGAACGGGAAACTGCAGGATCGTTGGAAGACCATAAGCAAGGCGGCTGTAATGATCCACTAAATGCTCTAAGGATTCAAGGTATGGCCCATCGTCGATGAAATGATAAGTGCCTTCCGTTTTCACTATGTAATTAAAGTACTCCCCTTGATTGATGACAGTTAATACATTTGCTTTGTTCCTATTGCTATATCTGACTAAGAATGTCCCATTTTCAGCTCTAGACGCTTTGATGTAGTTCTCAGCTTCAACTCGGTTCAAAGTACCATGGTACCAGAATTTCTTATCCGTGTTCGGAGTTGGAGTCTTGTACTCTTCCAATATCTTAGCGCATTCTAAATGGCCATTCGCTCTGGCCAAATCCGCTGGTAACTCGTTATTCTTAGTCCTGGGCTTAACTGGAGCATTCAAGCTCAACAGTTCCAGGATTACTTCCTTGTGACCACCATTAGCAGCCTCGTGTAAAGGAACCCAACCGTTCTCTGTATTCCTTGCTTGAATATTAGCATTACCCACTCTAATCAACAACTTCACAGTGCTGACTAAATTATTTTGACAGGCATACTGAAATTCAAAATGATTAAAATACTAATAATTTTAACTCAATCTTATAGGAATACTTACATGCAAAGGTGTGTAGGCAGCCATATCTATCGAGTTAACATTCGCCCCATAATCAATGAGTGTGGTAAGAATATCATTGTTGCCATGCATGCTAGCAATGTGCACTGCAGTTTGTCCATTTTCGTTTTTGGCATCATGGTTGTAGCCAGTTTTGAGCACTTCTGAAACAATCCTGAGATTTCCCTCTCTAGTGGCTCGATGCAAAAGATTGGTTGCACCATGCCTGCGAGTGTTGTGAGGAGGTTTAACTCCCTTAATAGGTACTGTCAGTAACACTCCATTAATACCATTAGGACTCTTTTGATAATGTTCAATTAAACACTCCAGTCCATGTATCTTCGTATTAGGAACTAAAATACAACATAACCATAAAATATATATAAAATTCACCTGCTCATTACTTACAAATTGAGAAAAATGCATCCTCAGCATGTTTGTGAATCTGGAAGTGATCCACTGTATTGTTATTGAGTACAGAGACAGCAAAGTCACCCTGAGAGGAGCAACTCTGTCGCACAAGGAAAGACCCATCAACATTCCCTTCTGAAATTAGGTATACACATTTCTATAGGTTTGTTTTCAACTATAATGGTAGAATTTTACCTTCTAGGAGTAAGGTTTCAGCCTCTTGTCTGGACTGGTCTCCATGGTACCAGGAAATGTCATCTTCTTTGTTCATGATGTAAAGGTGTATAGAACATAAATACTAGCAAATTACTGGATTCCCGTAGAAATGGGATTGCTCAATCACATATCCGTGCGGTTTAAAGTCTATTTTCTCCTTTTGTTTGCCCCAAGAGACGGATTCATTACACTGACATCTTGGTTTTACCTTGAACAGGTGTCAGCCTCAACTACACGTCAAAACAGTCGACGCGGCGCGAAAATTCAAACTGCTAACGCTTATAGGAAAAGTACCGTGTTTATGCATAGGCTCAAACGAGAAAACAAAATGTATTTTCAAAATAGGATGTTTGGGCCTTTCGATAAGCTCTTCTATAAATAGTACACGAATTACTTGTTGGATCACAGCAATCGCTGCCAGATAAAAGCTTTTTTTATACTGTTTGTTTAATGATTTGTTGTTGTTTTACTCTTTTTATTTTCATATAGGACAGAGAGGCAAATGAATGGAACAAGGAGGAACATCAACTGGAAAGTATTGTACATATGTTGTCGTGGGAGATTGAGCGAGTGAGAGGGACAAGAGGTTTTGTTTATTTATGCAAAAATACACCCAGCCACATTTTATCAGGCTTCCGAACGTACTTAAGTCAAGTGTGAAGTTAGTCTAGGCCAGTTTTGTACGAGCAGCTAAATTGAACTGTTCTTCCTCTGCCATTGGACTTTGGTCTCCAACCGCACTTAAGTCGCTCTTCCAAAAAAATACAAAAACACCTTAATACTAAACAATATTACTTGAGCAACGTAAGTCTGAACAATGCAATCTGGTCTGCTTCTTTTAACATCATCTTAACAACCTATCATATATTTATAGTAACGAACAAAAATACAAATATACCATCCCATCAAAACCTACTCCATCTTGTCTAATAATTAAAATCTCAACAAGAATTCCTCTGGAATTAAACCCTAAATCCATCAAATACGTTCATAAATAAGTGTCCTCTCTTTAATACATCAAATTTATCCATTAAATCCACTCTAGCTCAACTAGTTCCTACTTCCATTTTCAGTTTAATTACCAAATCTAACATCAACATAAAAATTAAATTAAACCTATTATTTAGTTTAAAAATACATTAATTTATAAATATACAACAAATTAGAGAAAACCCAACGCTTTTTTAAATAACTTGTAAATATGTCTTGTTTTTAACGTATAATACAATTACATTTTAATTAACAATTAAAAAATATTTATATATTTCATTGGAAAAATGTAAGTTAGTTAAAGCTCTTTTGAGTATATATTTAAATATCAATTACTTAGTAATTTTCCACTGAAACTTTCGGAAATATCGACTTTGACAACGTTTAAAACGAAATTTATATATTTGTTGTATTATATTTCAATAGATTAAATACAATTTCAAAACAGATAATGATATCATATTGATACAATAAATTGAAATAAAATCGGTATTTTGAATAATATATGATAAATTGTATTAATAATGGGTCAAGAAAAAAAAAGAAGTGCGCTTGAAAACGAGTTTTATAACATTTATAAGAGACGTGTTAACGTGTTGTGTAGTGGATACTTGGACACAACAACAACAACAAGAGTGGAAGGAATTTTAACAACGTCGATGTTATTGGTGAATAACAGAAAAATATATTTGTTAAAATGATTTAACGAAAAACATCACTCAATCAATGTATGGAATTTTTTTGAGATCAACAATAATGTCACGTAGACATCAGTCACGTAAACAATTTATCTTGCCTTGTTTACAATAATTGCATGGCCCAGAAAGTTGAAAGATATTAAACAAAAAAATACTCAAATATTCGATAATTATACAATGTTATTTATTGAACATTTTATTAGTCTTAAAGTATTAAAAAGATTAATTTGTAGATTTATGAAAACTTCAATTAAATGAAAGTTTAATATAAACTGAATATTGTAATTTTAAACTTAATTGGAAATTATTTAAAATATTTTCAGGTTTAAATTAATTTAAAAAAATGATTAATAACGTTAATGTGTATATTTTAATTATAACAATGTTGTGTCAATTGATGACAAATATTTGTGGGTTTGAAGATTACATTTTTCAAATTCACTTGTGGTTTTGAAGATTAAAATTCAAGTTCATTTATATATTTAATAATAATTTAAATGTTTTTTTTTTTAAATTTTTTATTCAAGTTAATTTATCGAAATAATTTTGTTTTCTGTTTATTTGATATATAAATAATGTATGGACGAAAAAAGTTGTTATTAACTATTTTTAACCGTCTCCAGAAAAGAAACTTATTATTTATGAGTTAAACTTTGGATAGGACTTTGAATTGTGAACTGAAACCGTTACATAATTAATCCATATGAATTGATTAACTTTTTATTGTGCGTGTGTGTTTTTTGTACATAATCTATTGCTTTGTATGCGTATGTAAATAGTAGAATAAAAGTGAATGTATGTTACAATTGAAGTGCATAGATTTTTATGATCAATTGGTGAGACGAAAATATGTTGCATTTGCTACATGTTTCCTTCGATTTATTTATAGGAATGTTAGGTAATTGACTGAAATAAGTAGCATGAATGAAAGTGTAACATTTACGTGACCTAGGTCGTATGATGCAATAAACTGGAAGATTGTAAATCCCTTGTTTATATGTTTCAGTGCTTTCAAAGAGGGGTGGATACCATAATATTTGAATATAGAGGGGAGCACTAGATTCTCATCTCTTCCAGTTCTTTCAAAAAAAGGAATGATCTATAGTTCTGGAGATTGTCTTGGTATACGTTACCGTATTAACAATTTGCACCAAACTTGGAAGTGGCTGCACCAAACCTTGGACGTGCACGAATATTTGATTTCGTTGACATCTTCTCATAAAAACGTAGCTGTACCGAAATCCAACCAGTGAACGCGAAGGGCACAACATCTATAGAAAAGAAAGATCAAGTGTTTTTTTTATTAAAATACTAATTACAAAGACACCAGTGTTTTAACAATAACAATCACACAAAGTTGAACTTTTACATATTATTAAATATATATAAAAATATCAAAATAAAAATGGCTTTCGTTCAGCGCAACATTTTGAGAAGTGCTTCCAAGTTCCAACAGATTATCCGCCCTTTGTCGGGTGGTGCAGCGCAGAAATCTGTATTCATATCGCAATCGAACGATGTTTACACCAACTTAGCCCTTGAGGAATGGATCAAAAGCAACTACGATCTGAAGAAAGATAACATCATGCTTTACTACAAGAATGATCCTTGCATCCAGATTGGGCAAGCTGCAAACCCTTGGTTGGAAACGAACATTTCATTCCACCACGAAAACGACAACGTCCTGCCTGTAGCCAGAAGGCAAGGACAGGCTTCGACGGTATACCAAGACAATGGTGCCATGAACTTGACCATATTCGGTAGATCAACAGCTCCGAACGACATCATCGCCAGGGCTCTCTTCAGAAGATACGGCTTAATTGTCAACAAACATCAGGACGATCTACGATTCTTCAATCACAAGGTAAAAATAATAAAATAAATACATGAATCCAGACAATTATAACTCTATATTTCTTCTTCAGATTTCTGCAAACCAGTTTGCAGATGGCGAGGATTATCAGCACTGCTCGTTGTTTGTGGACGTGAACCAAGGAGATTCAGTCGGAGCATTAGCGAAGCAAAAGGTAAGCATTCCAAAAATTTCATCATCCATCGTCTCAAGGCCGTGGCTTAGAAAATTAAAAAACAACAACAAAGATAACCGAAGTGAGGTAATAGCGCGACAACGAGTAAATATTTGTGTCGCGAAAATTATTTCTAGTAGAGTAAGGTTCGCGAATAAATTGTGTATGAGTATATAAAAATACACGCTCCAAAAATAAACCGATGTTCTAAACTTTAGAGTCTAAAGTTTAGACTATAAGGTCTGAAATTAAATTTTGTACATTCATCGAATAAATTATCTAATCTCTAGCAATTTTGCTAAAGATTTGTAATTGATGGCAGAAAAATGAAAAGCTATTATAAGCTTGTTTTTTTATACTGTGATCATGTGCTAATCATTGATGATGTGCGGAATTGCAAATGTTGATCAAATGTAGGTGATATATGCGGACCCCCTGGGATTGCCGGGTCAAAGTGACAAACAGATCAATTCCAGGTCACTTGCTAATCAGATTGCACACGAAAACAAACAAATCCTTACAGTTTAAAGAGAGAGCCGTTGCGAGCACGCATCGGCTGCATGGTTTTGAATGGCATTACTAAAAGTCGAAAGTAAAGCGAGGATTAGAGTCAAAGTGAGACGGATAGAGGAATTCTGTAGTAAATAGAAAACAAACATAAATAATGTTTCCAAAACCTTCCACTGACACTTTAATTTTTTATCCTCTCTATTTATTTTTATTTCACGCGCGCTAGATTGGGTCAACCGGGTCGCCGACCTTTCTTCCTCTTACTACAAAGAACTAAAATTTTCCTTGAACTGATAACGCGTAATCACAATTAGTTGATAATGAGATTTCCTAACATTAATACATTGCCAATAATTCAGCAATTTTTACCGTAAAATGTGCATTTATTAAATATTAATGAGTACACGTGTCTCGTTTAGTACGCTTTTAAATTATTATAATCGAAGGAAATATTTTTTTTAATTCTCAATTTTCGAAGTCATGTTTTCAATTTACATCAATAATTACATAAAAAGAAAGTTTATTTTAATATTACCATATTAATTGTCCTTTATTTATTCTATTTAATTTATCTACTATTGTCCAAATCTAAATTCATAATTTTTTTTAACTGATGCACTTACGCTCATTTTTATTTATTTTTTTTTAATAATTAATTTTATAATTGCTGCAATACAATATTGTTATTTTTATCTTGATTATTTCATGAACAATATTAACTGTATGTATACTTTCCAGCTAACTGATGAAAAGAAATTTGTCAACATAACCCAGATAGATCCGAAAGTAACCATGGATGGTCTTCTTTCGGCAATCGGCTGGGAATTCCTCAGATTCGACAGCGAAACTGTTAAAGATGGTGGCATGCAGTTGGCCAAAAAGCAGAATGGGTTCCAGATGATCAACCCTTCGGAAAATTGGTTCCCAGGTAATAAAAAAAAAACTCCCCACAATTGCTCTGAAGTATTTCTAATATCATCTTCTACAGGAATTACTGAGATTCGCAACCGCTTGGCGAGCTGGGATTGGTGTTATGGATCAACACCTAAGTTCACCATACTCAGGTCCTTCCCTGTACCAGCACAGCTTCTGAATCCATCCAGCGAGACCTCCAACGAACTCCACGTCAAAGTTGAAGTGAACACTGGAAAGATCAGCGACGTTACATTGTTTGTTCCACCTGGTCTTACTTCATCTGGTTTCACTGGTGAAGCCAAGGTGGTCACCAGCCTGAGAGGACAGAAATTCTCTGAAGCCGCTATCAACTCCTTTGAATCCATACTAGGAGTCAACAATAACGAAAAGGAGAAGTTCGTTACCGATTGTGTCCGTGAGGCCGTATGCTCGGTATAAACTGAATTTGATCTTCTTCAACGAGAACGAAAAAAAAAAAGAAACTAGTTTTAAAACTTTCTGCTTTACTGCTTCATATTTCTTTCGTTTTGTTTTTTTTATATATATATAAATGTATGTTAGTAACGGGATAAGGTATTCTATTATTATGAATTATATTAATTTACTAATAGTTAGTTGTTACGGCTTCCGATTAACACAACTTCAAGAATTAATCATATCAGTGTGAATTCACTATACTTAGTTAGTATTATGTTTTTTTCTGTATCTCATTCTCTCGTTACGAAACGTATTGATTTCTATAGCTGTTGTGCCTCTTAGCTTTCCTCGATATAAGTCTAGTTCTATAAATTACATTTAAGATTATTGTAACCTTACCTAATACGCGACGTAGCTGTATTACGTCTTTATATTTTATCAGCGTTCATTCGAATATTGTATTTTTTAATGAAAATAAACGCTTATGTATTATATTTGTTCCTGAACATTATTACTAAACCGATTACCTTTAAATATTATAAAATCAAATCTATCACATAGAAATTTATCTCATATTTCCTTGAAAAAGGTGAAAAAAAATCACAAATTTCGTTACAAAAATGAGGAAACTTAAACTAAGACCAAATAAAAGAATCCATTGTCGATGTACACAAAAGGGTGACAAAAATAGGTCCATATTGATAAACAGGACATAAGTAATTATTATGATATATGCAACTCTATATACAAATTTGGAATAAAATGTACGTATTTTGAAATCAAATACTTAAAGGTTTTAATTTATTTTATCTTAACGATCTACGTTATTATATTGATACTGAAGTAATATAAAGGCCATAAAACAGGAATTAAATAACTCACCAATCTATAATTTAAATTTAGTAAATGTAATTTGTAGAACGCAAATCTTTTCACAAATTTCGTTACAAAAGTGAGGAAACTTAAAATAAGACAAAATAAAAGAATTTATTGTCGATGAACACAAAAAGGGTGACAAAAATAGGTCCATATTGATAAACAGGACATAAGTAATTATGATGATATATGCAACTCTATATACAAATTTGGAATAAAATGTGCGCATTTTAAAATCAAATGCTTAAAGGTTTTAATTTATTTTATCCTAATGATCTACGATATTATATTGATACTGAAGTAATATAAAGGCTATAAAACAGGAATCAAATAACCCACCAATCTATTATTTAAATTTATTAAATATAATTTGTAGAATGTGAATCTTTTTGAGCGCGTGATAATATATTATAAATTTGTAATAAAATAAAAAACAAAACAACTGTAATTTCGTTTTATTTGCGATTATCAAAATATTATAAATATTTTTTGCCAAGTTACGATTCTTGAATTTTACTGAGACAAGTTTAAAAAAAGTAATTAACTATTATAAAAATCAATATGAATTATAATTACTAAATACTATTTCTTTTGTTTCTACTACTTTCTACTGTTTTTAGTACTTCAGATACCTACTACCATTTATGTTATTTCTACTACTTCTGTTATATCTACTAAATTCTACAATATCTACTATTTTATATGAATTACGCTTTTTCCGCTATTTTCAAATGTTGACTATTTAGTATTTGAAATCAAGTATTTATGATTTGCTAATGTTAGATTCTATTTTAAGAAAATACGATTTTTAAGTGTGAATGAGTTAAATGATTTTGAAGGTGTCGTCAATTGAGATAGTCGTATTTACATTTACTATTATTATGATTCTCAGTCAAATATAATTTGTAGGACTATTATTGTGTAAGTTCTTTGTAAGAGGGGTTAAGATGTAGTCTGGCTAGTGTATTAGTAAAATATTTTTATACGTTTCTTTATTTAGATTGCAGGGAATAAAATAATTATGTATATAAATTATTACAATTGTAGCTATTTATAAGTTAGATTTGGAACGAAGTATATGTAAATAATAAATGCTAAAATAGTGATAACAAGTGTAAATTGTGAATGTGTGTTGGGAATTATCGAGCAGATAAGTAATTATAGGTAGAATGTTAATAAAGGCTGTATCGATTGTACACGTGAAGGAGCAGTGATCGAAAATTGTTATTTTATTAGGTGATTGATGATGCGAGGGAACTGCGGATATCGTTGGAAGAATGGAGATGCGCGATAGTCGTCGGAGTTAAGTGATCAATAATTGTCGAAGACTGAAGCGTGGGTGTGAATGAAAATGGTAAAAAGTATAATACAAAACAATGTAAAAAGGCGGAGCAGTAGCAACAATAGCAGTAGAAATAAAAAAATCCAAAAATAGATCAAACTTTTCCTCATCGCTAATTTGATTATTTTTAACAACAATGCATGGTAGCATTATGTGATGCGTCATTTGTAATTATCGCAGCTTTAGTAATGCTTTGGTCAATGTAAGTGATTATCCATGTTTGATCATTCACTTTTGAAATGTTTAGACAATTTGTTGTTGCGATAATGAAAGTATTAGGTGGCGGCGATCGGAGTAGAAGGAGGCGGCGACCGCGACCGACTTACCGCCGACTTGCGGGATAGAAAATGATAGAACTACGTTCGTGTGGTGGAAAAATTCCGGCGGCGGAATTATAGATTCGGTTTAGTTTATACAAATATCGACCGAGTGTTATTTTCTTCAGTGACATGACGCCGGTCGTGCGGCCAGACACAAAGCACATCGCCAAACGCCAACAACATCGACAACACCCCTACAAATACTCCGTAATCATCCACCTGGATGCTGACTCGTAAGCCTTCACCAATCATCTGCTCTGCAAGCTCCTAGTAAGTCATCATAACCTCCACTTATCACCATCAGCAAATCTAAATTGCACCTCATTCCCTTTCGTAAACAAAGAAGGCAATATGTTAATGACTTTGTAATTACATTTTACCTTCGATTGAAATCTCTGCACGACCCTCTTATTTATTTATATACATACTATAAACAAACCTTTCTTCATTTCACAGGCAATGGAAGACCGCTCCAGGAAGATCAGTTGCTTTGCCTCCTCGGATGTTTCCGCTCCCCCGGTACTCCTCAGGAGGAGGTTGAGCGCTCCAGAAACTATAATGCGAAAGTAAGTAAACCCCCCCGAATCGCCATTGACCTAGTTCCTCAGCTTAATTAAGCTAGTCGATAGATCTTAACTGTGATAAGTAGCACGTTCCTATGCAAAAAGCTCTCAGAAACCTTCGAGACTTGCCTGGGGCCGCATCAGAAATGCGCAAAACAACCTGGTAAATCACCCGCATCATCAAACTAAAACACCTTTCCTTCTTTTTTGTTTTTCTACAGGCACATGCTAGCCCAGCAGAGGGCCGCTTCGCAGGATAGCCAAAACTCTTCGGAGAGTGCCCAAAGCTGCAACTGGCCCATGGACCCGAGCAGCGATCCCAACCTCTCCAAGAGGCGCGAAAGCGATATCCGCAAGTCTACCCTGATGAAACGTTTCTGGGACTCTTCCAGGATACAATTCCCCAGAACGTACTCGGAATGGCAGTACTCGTTCGGTAAAATGAAGCTGTCTTCTACTCCTACAACGCCAGAGCATTCTCGAGGAAGCCGCAAGAATATATTCGAAGCTAAAACTAAGAGTTCACCTAAACGCAAAATTTCTATCTACAATGGCACCTATACTAGTGAATCCAGGAAAAGTAGCGTGGATGAATCGCCTAAGCACATGAGGAAGATCTCACCGAAACCAGATAGCAACAACGAGGATTATGCTGTGTATTCCAGCAACTTTAGTAACGTGACTTCGTCGGAATCTCAGAATACGAGTAGAACAGTGGATAATTTTGATTCTGCTTACGCGAATAGTTGTACTAGCGTTTCTCGGTCTGCTGATACTGCGAAAGAGAATAACAACAATGTCAGTATGCCAATAAAGTACCAATTCGTGTTGAGCAAAGATGCGGAATTTGTGCCGAAAACTACAAACGAGGCTACTCAAACCACCGATACCACAAACTTGAACGTGATTTCGAACGTGCACTTGAGCCAATCGACACTCAACTTAATTTTTAATCAGGTCATGCAAGACGTTTTGAAAAGCAAGCCCGAACCCTCGCAACCTAAAATAATCAACGTACAAACCCTTCCAACATTCAATGTACAAACGAAACCAGAGGACAAACCTACAAGATTGATCAGTGAAGTAAACGTGGGAAGTCCCTACAAAGTGAAAGAATCTCCATTAGTGCCTCGCCTTTCTGCCTTACCTAGATCTACCTCAATGGAAGTGAATATTTCGTCAAATGATTCTTTCGACAAAGACTCCGATTCCTGCAGCCTTGTTGATAGCTTGGAAGATCCGAGCTCTCCAAAAATAAAGAATCCCGAGGATAAGCTACACTTACTTCCAGACAACAGCAGTTCATCAAACAACATCCTCCAGAAAAAGTCCTCCGTCTTTTATATACCAATGAAAAATGAGCCTGAAATGATATTAGAAGAAAATACATCGGGGGATGTTTCCAATCTGCTACCAAGCAAATTAAAAGAGAAACTAATGAAGCGTCAGATCAAGCGGGAAGAGAAGAGGAAGGAGAACAAGATCAGGCACTTCGATGTGCAAAACGGTAATTACAGCACCTACTTTGATACCAGCCCCGAATTATCTGCAAAACCGAAACCGCGCAAAAAGAAAACCACTCTACCCCTCATCGAAAACAAGCCGCTGAAACCAAAATCTTTTTGGTTGCCGCGCAATAAGAAACCCGAGAAATTAACTCCACTTACGAGAGAGTCCAAGAAACCAGAAAGTAAGCAAATTGAGATACTTGAAGTGATGGAGATCGTTGAGCCTACCAAAGTACTGAGTGCGCTTCCAAAGACTAAATCGAAAATACCTGTTTTAGTTCAGCAGCGTTTACCTAAGCTGAGCCATCGCAAAGCGCAGAAACCGGCCTACCTAGATTACACTGATGCGCCAGATCCTAAGTTCGATCAGCTGATTGCAAATATCCTGATCGATTCGCTGAACCGTGAAGACCTGGAGACCAGTCGCCAAAAGAAATTCGACACAATCCCCGAGGAGAAAGCCGAGCAGAACAATAATCCTATCGATAAGGTCGCTGATCTCCTAACTCAGCAGGTCCTCGAGAACAATAACGTTGAAGGTAATGAGAGCACGGAATCCCCAGAAAACGCGCAAATGCCGAAGGGATGGATAACGTTCTACATGTTGCAAAAAAATAATTCACCTGAGAGTACGTCAGACGAAGGTACAAACATTAGCAAACTTTTCACAAAATAAATTAAAATTATTTTATATATATATACATATATTTATATATTACCTATAATAACAGTAACAAATATAAACATTATGCACACAATAAATAAAGCACTTATGTATATATTTAAAAAAAAAAGCAAACCCCCATATCATATAAAGACACAGTTGTTTATTTAGGCACTATAAATATGAAAACCTCTAAGAAGTGTGATAAAATAAGTCAGACACCGAAAGACTCCGATTACAAATCTGAAGAAAGCGACTCGGAGTCTGATAGGGCAACGAAGTACCAGAAAGGAAGCACTTCGAAATGTAGGTGATAGCAAGTTTCTTGATCGTTTAAGAACTAACAATTGTTTGCTACAGGTGGCTGGTCGGTGACTGTAAGTGGAACGAGCAATGGTGAGATAGGACCTGATGTAGAGATGCGACTGAAGTTTCCTAAACTTGTCCAGAAAATTGAGAAAAAAACAAAGAACCGCGACGAGAGTTTCCAATCAAAATTTCCTCCTCTCTCCAACAAAAAGAAAGAATCAGGTAAGAATAATTATTCCATTACATTTTCAACATCAAAAAACAACAATACGTTCTTATTAACAATTAAATCTTTGTAAAATATCGAAAATTAAAAAGTCATTAGGATATATTTTTTAATGTTCGGATTAAGGTTATTAAGTATCCTCTTCCAGGAATCACTTTTGAAGAAATGTGCTCAAAACGACAGTCAGCTCTTTCAAATACAAAACCATATCTAAATGTAAGCCTTTTGTAGGAAATTTGAGTTAAAGCACTGAGCACTTGGGTTATAACAACTGTCGCATAAAACAAGCAATAACTCATTTGTTTAAATTAGGTTGTATATATTTTGATGTATTAAATGCAAAACATCGGAGCATGCATTGAAAGAGTAGAATCTAATTTGTTGGTATATCTTCATCACATTTGTATATACAGTTTGCATGTAATTTCGCACGATTTGAATAACTCACATGACTCTAATATCTGTGTTTTAAATTTTTTAGAGTAAAACTCACGATGGCTTATTAAATCAAGCCAAGTACGAACCTAGGCCTACAAAAACAAGTACTCAAAGGAGATTGTTGCATCGTCCGAAAAATTTAAAGGAAATCACAATTCCTATAGACTCAAACAGGTAAAGCATTTGAAGTGAATCAACAAACAAAACTTAATGATATATTTCTATTCCAGGAATTTAGAAGATATCTTCAGGAAGTTTCCAAATATTCTCGCAGTGAATGGAAATGCTATGAGCCGAGAGAAGAAGTCTTCATTGTCTAAATTAACTGAAAGTGATTTGAAACATTTATTATCCCATTTTAATAAGAACGTGCAATAATTGTTAAGTGACAAATATATATATATTTATAAGTGCTAGATACTCTATACAATATATGAAGCATCGACAAATCTATTATAGACTTATGTAACTAGTATTAATTTGTTAGTGCTTACTTATTACAAGTAAGTAATATTATTTTTAAGCATAAAGTTGTTTTTTATACATTGTTCACATCAATCATAGAACTGATTGTTGCCTTTTTAAATGAAAATATTCTAACTATTGTTTTATTTTTAACTTCAACCCTTTCCAAAATATTCGTTTCTCAAACACATAAGTGCCATTAGAATTGTTAAAAGTTGTGAACTTACTAAATACATGATAAAACCAACTTTATCAGCAAAAAATTGGGGAACTAGTAGACTAAATGTACCAGTCGACGTCAATAATTTATATATCTCTACACGTGTAAAAGTCTTGTATTAGATTAGCAAGACTGTAGAGTTTGTGAAGGTTATAGCAAAAATTGAAAGAATAAACAAAACAAACATCCTTGTATTCGATTTCGTTTTTGCTGTATACAAGACAATAAAACTTAATAATTAACGTTAATCAATTTACGAAAGTACGTCTCTGTAAATTGAATTTGTATAAACATTTCTTATATTAAATACAATAAGAAATAATTAAATAATTTATATTATAATTAAAAAAAAACTTATTGTAAAAATTTATATTTAGTTTTGGTTACGTTATCAATGTTATTACATGTTATCATTGGAACCGCAAATTTCATCATAAGTAGATTAACACAATATGATTTAATTTAACAAAGTTGTTATGTCATATTATGTAGTAGACTAGATAATTATTTTATATTTATTATACTGCTTAACTTTGAAAAATTTTAATATCAAGATATATTTTTGCTACTTATAATGGCTGATTTTATAATATTGATATCAAATGGTTCTAATTTGAAACGTGTAATTACATAGGTATAACTTCCCAAAGTTTCTGAAGAGTATAACCTTCTTTGATGCTTTCAATAGCAATGCCAAGATCTTCGGAGTAAAGAGGCATGCGATCCTTGATATGTCCTCCATCTGCCAAGTAAGCGGTAATGACGTTTGTCATCTCACCTTTAGGCTCCTCCACCTCCGAGAAATCATCGATCAGATGCTGTTTCTGCAGATCCGTTTCCTTCTGATGACTCCACTTATATTCCACCCCATAAATCGGCTTTTTGTTGTACACTAAATACAGCGAGATCAACTCCTTATACACTACGTGCAGCTTCTCCTCGGGATCGATCCGAAATCCCAGTATGTATCCTCCGCTCTCCTGCGTACTAGTTATGACCAGAGCTGTACCGAACTTGGAGTCACGAACTTTAATCTGAAACGCACCGTTATCAAATCATATACATTCAATCAGTCGATCCATACCGTGTCTATTTGCAAATGCGGTAATGAAATGTTAAAGCCTTCATTCATATCGGCAAACCATACCAGTCTAACATTTGAAATTATTAAAGTCCCCAAATTCCCCTGATCACTAGATAAGTTCCAAACGCCATGCAATGTCGTAAAAACCTGCTCCAAGGGTAATATTTTCAGCTGCTTATTGTACACAACGGCGCCCCGTAGTTTCAGCTCGCGATACAATTTCGAAGATAGATAAGCCCTGAAAAGTCACGAATTAAAATAAAATTCATATAAGGTGAAAAAAAAAAACATTTAGCCCTGATTAATCTCAATTGCGTTCCTTTAATTTACATTCCTTTTATTTGAAAAATTCGTTTTATTTGATACCGAGTAAATGGCTGACCTATATTTCTTTCATAAAAAAAATATGTATTACTTAATCAGTTTGGCAGCTATGAAGATTTATGCCGGGACAAAGTTTGAAAGAAATTAGCTAACAAAAAGGAGAGGAGTCATTCGATCTGGACATACTTATGGACTCCCATAACAGAGGTGAAATGACGCATGTTTCCAGGTATCAAATTGGTAAAAATAAATTCGAATCTCGTGTTATTCGAGTTGGTCAGCATGTGCAGAGCCTGAGTCGTCCCGCGGAGTTTCTAAAAAAGATTTTCGTTTGATTTATAAATACATTTATTCTACATATTTTTTTTGACTCTCTGTGCTTCTTTTTTTCCTGTTTGCAACATCGCGTACGAATCGAGAAATAGGACAAATATCTTATAGACATTGAGATAAATTCTATGTGAATATTATGCATAAATCTTTCATGAAAGTATTTTAATGAAATTTAACATTCCTTGTGTAATATTACATTGGTCTAAATATAACTGTTGAATAAACATGGATTAATCTCTCAGAGCAGTAGACTTACTATTATTATTAAGATAGTAAAACAGTCATCAACGTTTATTTACTCTTAACTAGTCATAAAATATACTATTAATCATCTTTCTTTTATCTTTGAGAGATTAGATTGTCCTCTATGAAAAACTTACCGAATTAACAACTTTTGTACTAATACTAATTATGGAATTGAAACCTATTGCTAAAATGAACATTATTTTTTTTTAATCTTTAATTGAATAATAATACTTACATAAATTAATTCTTGGGCTGGATATCGAATGCCATAGAATCCTTAAAGTAGTTATAATCATCCTTCCGCGGTCTCCTCCATTTCCTTTAGTATCCTCGATGTTATCCAACCTATCCACGATCTTCTCTTCGGATTTCAATCGCATCTCCCTGAAACGCAACACCAGTTATATAATTTATCCTGAACAACAATAATAAACACTTCTTACGAAAACGGGATGTCGAATCTGACTTCTTTATCTTCCCACGTTAAGGCCATTTCTTTAAGGTTACCTTGTTGAATGTGTTGGAAGTGAAAAATATCGATCGAGGCTAGCGCAAGCGTTGCGGCTATTGATTTCAGGGAATTTTGTTGCATGGAAACAGAATAATAACAAAGGAATAAAGAAAGAACGGTTTCAACACTCTATACAAACATAAATTAAAATTTTATTCAAAAGCGCACAAAGTTAGTTAAATTTAATCCATTTCCGTCTCCTCTTCCTCCTCTAGCTCTTCCTCGTCCTCGGGGTACATCTCATCGTCGTTGGCATCCTGAAGTATTAATTGTATTAATTTTTTTTTAAAGAATATTATTTTCATGTACATACCTCGTATTGCTGATACTCGGATATGAGGTCGATCATGTTGGATGAAGCTTCGTTGAATTCGACTTCGTCCATGCCTTCACTAATGTACCAATGGAGGAAAGCGCGTTTCTTGAACATAGCTTCGAACTGCTCGTGGATTCTTATAAATATGGACTGAATGGAAGTTGAATTTCCTATGAAGACACCTGACATCTTTAAGTTTGGAGGTGGAATGTCGCAAACGGCAACCTTAATATTGTTAGGAATCCAAGGAACGAAATAGGATGAGTTCTTGTTTTGAACATCGAACAGGGTCTCATCTACTTCCTTCATGGAAACTGCACCTCTGATTATCGTAGCGATTGTTAAGTATCTTCCGTTAAGAGGGTTGCAAGCAGCCATCATGTTCTGACTACTAAACATTTGTTTAATTAAGTCTGGAACGGTGACGTTACGGTATTTGACACTATTTGGAGCTGTGAGAGGAGCGAAGCCTGGCAGGAAGAAATGGAGCCTAGGGAAAGGAACCAAGTTAACGGCCAGTTTGCGCAAATCTGCATTCAATTGGCCTGGGAATCTGAAGCACGTAGTTACACCTGACATGGTATATGAAATCAGATGGTTTAAGTCTTCGTAAGTTGGTATAGCCTTTCTCAGAGTTCTAAAGCAAATATCATATAAAGCTTCGTTGTCGATGCAAATGGTGTTGTCACTGTTTTCGATTAATTGATGCAAAGTTAAAGTAGCGTTGTACGGCTCAATAACAACATCGGACACTTTTGGTGATGGGAAAACACTAAAGGTGTTGATGATGCGGTCTGGATATTCCTCTCTGATTTTCAAAGCCAAAAGTGTGCCCATTCCGGAACCAGTTCCACCGCCGACAGAATGAGTGAATTGAAATCCTTGGAGACAGTCGCATCCTTCGGATTCCTTGCGAATCACATCAAGAACATCCTCGACGATCTCAGCTCCTTCGGTGTAATGCCCTTTGGCCCAGTTATTTCCAGCACCGCTTTGTCCGAAAACAAAATTATCAGGCCGGAAGAGTTTTCCGTAGGAGCTTGAACGCACAGAATTCATAGTACCGGGCTCTAAATCAACCAAAACAGCCCTCGGAACGTAGTTTCCACCGGTGGCCTCATTATAATACACATTGATCCTCTCCAACTGCTGGAGGTTATCGCCGACGTATTGTCCGACCTCGTTAATTCCATGCTCTTCGGAAATCACCTCCCAAAACTGAAAGAATTTATGATGGGTTTCTATAAATAACCTCTGAATATTATGAGTAATCGGATGCCATCAAGCTGATTTAGATAAGAGACAGGTAACGTTTATACGTAATACATCCAAAAACAGATTGATGGTTATTCGATAAAAACGGGTCTTTATTTGCGTTTTTAATTTACCTTGGAGCCGATTTGGTTACCGCATTGACCGATCTGGACGTGGACTATTTCCCTCATCTCACTAGTGTATTATTATCTCTGATGATATGTGCGTAAGGGCGATGCCGACCAAAAAATGATGCAAGCATAGAATTTGTACAGCGCTGTGCAGGCTCGATCTTATCTAATCGTGCCCACCAGTCGGACGGAGGCAGCTAGGTAAACGAAATAAAGTGGAATGGATCGAGGAAAATTTGTTTATTTATTTACTTAATCTATTATATGTGTGTAAGATGTTACATTGCACTTTCGTGTGAATGAAATGATGTATATTTTGATAATTAGAAGTAAATGAAATAAGAAACTAAATATTCTCAAACATATTTACATTTATATTTGTACATACATTAGCAGCTACGTACAGAAACACATCGTTATATATATTTATATACTATGAAGTGAGAAGGAATCAAAGAATCATTTTTTACTCTCCTGGAACTTGCTTTCCTTTATATTACTACTTTTTTTATTACGTAATGTGATATAATATATATTTCAAAATAAATAAAATAAATATGGATTAAGTGAAGCGTCGAGAAGCGAATTAATGAAGGCACCGCCTCGTAATTATGTATATATTTATATATATATATACTTGTATGTCCAGAACTTACTAATTCAAAAATAAAATCAAAATAACAGAAGAGAACACTCCGATTGCAGGAATTCGTAAATGCGATATACACAGTTGGCAGAGGACTAGAAGAAGCTCAAAGACAGTCTATGTGCACTGCACAACGGTGAAAAATAAAAACCGAAAATAAAATAAAAAAATAAATGATGAATATGAAACGAAAACAGCACTAAGATAGCACCCCAAGATTAAAGTATAAAGGTAAGGTCACTTTTTGGCACTATCAACAGAAAAACAAAATGGAAACAAACAAATAAAAATAATATGTGTGTTGTGGAATTGGTAATGAATAGATCAGGATTCGATACCTGCCAAAATATGTACTTGGTCCTTTATAATCGCGACAGAATCAACTTTCCGTTTTGATCTCTGACATCGCGGCATCTACTAGCTTTTTGTGCTTCCCAACGAGTTCGGGTAGATCATACGCTATGGCCACGTCGAGCCTGTTAATGGGGCAACCACGGAAGAATGTGCACGTGGCGGAGAGCTGTTGGAAATCGTATAAAGCGTTCAATCTGAAAAAGTCTCTGTAAACGTCGGGATCGGGGAGATCGTAGCGGGAGATGTTGGTCAAGGTCGACAAGCCTTCGTAGATGTGGTAGTCCTGCGGGTGCTCGATGATCTGGTCAGAAACCTGCTTACGGTTACCGAACACTGACTTGTGGTTGTAGTATGTGGTCAGATAGCAATCCACCATTTTAGCGTGGTTACGTACGCGTACCTAAAAATAAATTCGTGCATACGTAGAATTATTATCAGAGGAAAGATGATCATTCTACTCGGCTATCTTACAGCAAATCTTCGCGCACTGGAGATTTTATTTTCGATCCTTTTGTCGACGGCGGATCGGAGATCCCTCAGAAAGGCGCGTTCCTGAGCCTGGAGCAAGCGCACCGGAGCCCATGCCTCATATGGCCTGGACCACAACGACGTCGTGTACATTACAGGAGGCTGGGCAGATGACATTAGCGGGGAAATGTTCCAAATTAATGCTCCTTGTACTCTCATTAACTCCTCTGGCTTCACTTGATCAGCTTTATTGAGAATAATGCGAGTCTAAAAATAGTCGCCCCCCTCTGCATTAGATACCAAAAATAACCTACGGCTGCATGCAACAAATACCTGATGCTCTCTACCCTTCAGCTGATCCAAAATTGCTTCAGTCTCTGGCCCAACATCAAGTTTGGAGGGGTCGTATACCAAAAAGATGATATCGGCCCTATCAATGAACCATTGGCAGGCGTCATTGAATGGGAACACGCGAGACACCTGCTTGCGTACTTCAAGAATTCCAGGAATTTCGACAATGTTGATCTAAAATTAGATCCAGCATTAAATCATATATTAAACGAAAACAGAACAACAAGTGCCTTTTCCAATAGCTTGCTTGGCAGCTTCAGACCCCTCAAACGCTCCTCCAATCCTTGTCCAAATTTCTGTAGGCCGGCGAAAGTAAAATCGGCCGCCAATTGTGTACCGTCCAGAACCTCTGGTTTGTCTCCGTACATCAAGAGATTGAAATAAGCTGGTGATGGTTCAGCACCTATAACACAATTCCATTCAAATATCAGATTGTTCTAAAATTACAATAAAAACGCACCTGTCCTTAAAGAAGTGCCGTTATATTCATTATCCAATAAATAATTTATAATTGATGACTTTCCACCACTCCACGGGCCCATGAAAAGTACAAGAGGCTTGGAAAAGATTTCCGAATCACCGAAGTGCCTATTGCTCAAGTCTCTGTATTTATAGAGAGTTTCTAATGGTTTAATAGCATTCTCATACAACTTCTTCAACTCTTTCAAAGTAACGTCAGCGGCCTTCTTAAGGACAGCTTCGGCTCCGCTATTACTATCATCCAACTTCAACAAATGATCGACTTGATCTCTTGGCCTCAAATTCTCGGGAATCTCAATATCCAAAATCAATTCCTCTTCCGGAGCTTCTTCTTTGCTCTCTGATTCTTCGGTAGCACTCTCTTCCACTACATTTTCTTCCGCCTCTTCTTTAGATACATCTAATTTAACTTCCTTCGAATCTTCATCTTTAATTTCTACATCAGATTTGTCGCTATCTTCGCCTTCTTTAACATCTTCTTTAGATTCATCTTTATCTTCTTTAGATTCAACCTTACCTTCATCCTCTTTAGATTCAGCTTTGTCTTCGTGAGAACCTTCAGGCTCAGCTTCCTTTACATCATCCTCTTTGGAATCAGCTCCTTCGGTTTTAGCTTCTTTCGAATCGTCTTCTTTAATTTCTTTAGAATCATCATCTTTGGCTTCCTTGGTTTCATCTTCTTTAGTTTCCTTAGAATTGTCATCCTTAGCTTCCTTAGAATCTGCTTCTTTAGTTTCATGGGAATCTTCGTCCTTAACTTCAGCGGACTCCGCCTTAGTTTCTACCGATTCCTCTTCCTTAGTTTCGTCTTGGGTATCTTCTTTCGTATCATTCTCCTTAGATTCTTTATCGTCCTCCTCCTTCACTTCCTCTGATTTATGATCTGCATCTTCTTTGGTATCGTCTTCTTTGCTTTGGTTATCTTCTTGCTCGGCCGAATGCGCTTCCTCTTCCTGTGGTTGATCAGCTTGAAGTTGTTCTTCGGATTCTTTGCCATCATCTACTTGATCTACAGTTTCAGTCGACGCAGCGGCCTCATCCACAGCTTCAGTTGATGCTGCATCATCAGTCTTTTCATCAGAACTTGCGGCTTGCTCTGGTTCAGTATGCGTTTCTTCGGCGGATTCCTCCTTCGCTTCCTCTTCGATGGACTCACCTTCTACTGAATCTTTAGCTTCGCCACTTATCGCGTCGGTAGCCTCTTGAGATTCTCCATCATCTTGAGCGCTATCGTCGTCCTAATAATAGGTATTAAATAATGCATTAAAGTATTAAATTATCTTACTTTTTTGGCTTCATCGTTTTGCTCTAAGGATGCGTCGTGTTCTTCCTAATATTTGGTTTAATTAGATAATGATTTTATTTGTAATACTATAGTCAAACCTGTTGAGTTTCGCTTGCTTCGCCTTTGTCGGTATCGTCTTCTCCGACACTAGTCTCGTGTTCGGAGTCGTCAACGGCGTTCTCCGCACTTGGGGCATCTTCGATTTCCCCGACAGTCGGAGCTCCGGGATCCTCTGGCTCTGTCTCGGCAGTTTCTAGTTCTTTTAAAGCTTTCTCGATGTAAGGTCTACATTCTGATTCGGATGGGCCTTCTACCTCGACCTCTCCTTGCACACCTTTAGAAACCCAACATAATAGCCGTGATTAAAGCAAATAATAAACCAAAAATAAAAAATTATGTAATAAATTGTTAAAGTTGTAACAAGCAATGTACAAAATAACAATTTTACATAGCTTGTAATATTTATATATATAAAGCTGCCATGTTGTAATATTGAATCGACGCTCGAAATGATCTATATTTAAATCGGGTCTAGGGAATCATGAAAGCTGGCAATAGTCCTGTATGTCGTCACGGTGCAGTATGGTAGTTTTTTTTAGATTCGACTATATAGAAAAAAAATCTAATGAAATGAGCAGCAAAATATATAATATACAGCCGTATAAAATTACAAATTACAAATATTCGAAATGAGCGAAATGCAAAGCGACTTTTATTTATAGACTGTTGGAGCGGGCGAAGAGAGAAAGGATAGAAAGAGAGCAGCCGTTGCGTACGAAATCATTTTCATATTATTAGATTGCGACGGACTAAAAATAAATTAGTGAAATATGTAAACGTAAGACCATAACTAGGGTCGTTTATCGGGTCTTACATAATTCCGGATTGGGATTTCTGGTTGTATCGAGGGAGGAAAAACGCTTATGCGCTCGCCTGGGGATCGGATGGATGGGTGGATGGCAGGATTTAAATTTTACTTTGGAATTTTTTCGAATTTTTTCCGCGATTTTTATTTATAATGCCGAGCCCTCACGTCCTTTATATGACTTTAACTCACTCTGCAAGGTAGTGGCGAGAAAAAGTAATCCCAATAAAAGACACGAGAACTTCCACTTTCGGCTGATCTCCATAGCCGCTCCGCACCACGTCTCACATGAACACTTAACACTGAGAGACACTAGCCCAGATTAAGGTGGTCCATAACGCGTCCCGACGCTTTGCAGTGGCGTCGTTTGCGACCTTGTGCACATATGTTGCTACTTTCAGCCTACAGGTACAAACCCGAATCCCGCACATCCAGAATCCACGCCAAACTGCCGGAGGAAAAAAAATCGAACGCCACTGCTTTTCAAACCGAAACTCTTGGCCAACCGTACATTACATTCAATAATCCAAATTTGTACAATAAAACCAACAAATCGCAAGTATTTTTATCCTCTGACTAAATCGGAAGGTGCAAGGAAGGACCTATTTTTACAAAAACTTTTGCAGTTTCTTCAATTATTTTTAGGTTTGCCCTCATTAACAATAATTTCAAAGAAATACCAGCATAACTTATTTATTCAACTACAACAAGAATCATAAAAGTTGTTTCCTTTCCACCTCGCCGTAATCCTTATCAAAGGTAAACCATATAGCTAGAGCGCATCGTGTACCATTCCGCACCGCCTTCACACCGTGCAAGTTCTCTTGACCAGAAGTAAAAGAAACGAGGCTCCCGCACTTTGGTACAATCACATCCTACAAAAGTAATTCTTTAGAACCTTTAGTATATATTATAATAGTAGTACACAACCTGAATACTATCTCCACGCGGATCCGAAGAGAAAAATAGCTCGCCTCCAGAAAAACCACTATTTAAATATAATATTGCCGTGTAATCTCGCCAAGTAAACGCTGGCCAATTTTTAGGACAACTACCATCTTCTTGGATATTACAATTATCCGCATGTATCTCATGGCTTAAATCAGACCTATTAAATTGTCCTCCTAAAACCAATCAAATATAATAAACATATTATTGTTAATAAATATTACCTGGTATAGCTTTGCGGCAGACGAGATGTGTATAGGTGAAATGCAGCTTATGCGAAACCTTGAACTTCTCCACCATATTCTGCTTCACCTCATCACCAATCGCTACAATCAAATCTACGTCGCTCTTATTCATACTTCCCTCTTTCATCATCTTAATAGCTGTCCTTAAAGTTAATCCTCCGTATTTTTCGTGCGACGAATGAGGATTTTGGTTACCTCGGTATCCATCACCAGGCACAGCAAATTCCATAGCAATTTTAAGCAGAGAATCGCAATTCTTCTTGGATATGAATTTTTCCTGAGTTATCCTCGCTCGGGGTTTTGGTTCGGACAACGCTGGGTACTGCAAAATGAAAAGAGAACATGACATCTGTTGCGCTAAGGTAGTTGGCACTAAGTGGGAACATTCAAATAATCCTGTTTACATGTCATCGATAGGATGCCATCGGAAAATCGTTGGCCGTTGATCCTAATTCCATGCCACCACCAACCACATAAATGCGAACACCAAGAAAACAAAGTAGTATAGGAAAAAACACACAACAAACAACACAGATGAAAATAATTTGATTTTTTATTAAAATAATTAATTAGAACAAAAAAAGTAAACAGAATATCGTATATAGTTGTATTTACAGAAGTAGCGAGGTGATTAGCACAATCACACGGAAATTAAGGGAAGTAATGAAGAAGACAGTCATATCGGCTCATTTTCAGACACCTAAAAGTTAAATACACTGTTAGTAATTATTAAGACACACAAGCTGAGCAGTGATGTTTTTTTATGTATTTAATTACGTTTCCACTCTCGTCAAGGAAAAAAAAGAAAAGGAATTTTCTTAAAACACAAAATTAATGACAACGCTTTTCCTAATTTACAAATTTGGTTCTATTAAAAAAATCTACAATGTCCATTATCAAATGGATAATATTTAATAGGAAATTAAAGTATTTAAATTAAAAATTAGCATAAAAAATCAATTGATGATCAATTACTGTAGTAATGCAAAAAAAAATATATGACACACATGATTCACCTATAAATTATAACAATGATAGAAATGTCTAATTTAATAAGAATAGTAGAAAATAAATTAGGCAAAGTCTAATATGTGAATGATGTATACCCTAATTTTTAGACATTTTGTAAATTTATATAATGCACCAAAATTAAAAATTGATTTCTTTACGTACGAATGATCTTATGATCCAAAAAAAAAGGTATACGAGTTAAATAGTTATTAATTGTTGATGCGAGTGTTATACAAAAATATTGTGTTTGAAAGGTGAATGCTACGAAAGGATGAAAGAAGAAGTTAAAGAAGCATCAAAGAGTGAAAGACCGATTAACTATACAACCACCACTGTTTTCATTTTCAGTATCCATTACCTTTTTCATGGTGGCTGTTTTTACATTGAACTTCTCAAACACAAACTCCAGTAAAGTTTTCTCATAATTATCACGGTGATAGTATGTCATAGCTTCCTGCAAATTACATTAAATAATAATATTTTAAAGAAATCATTAGCATACATTTACTTACACGTCTTGGTATAAAAAATTCCTTCTTCGCTTTCGGCAATTTCCTGTAATATTCAATATTATACAACATATTTTCATCCATCGGGAAATATAGAAGGTAGCTAGAGGCGGCTTCGCAAGCAGCTCTCAAATTACCACCTGAAATAGCAAATTGTAATTTAATTGCAACGTAGTTATACCAAATGCTTACGTTTGAAGTAGGCAAACTGCAGGAAGTTGTAATGGCTCGGATATAGATCTTCGTGTTTCTCGCCGTTCAAAGTGCTTGTCGCTTCCTTGCACTTCCTCTTGCACCTTAACGAATGTGCGAAGTGGTCTAAAATAACATCACATAAAATATTACAATCAGCTATAGAAATATTTTTTTTGTATTTACTAGCTATTGAAGGGATCATATCTGGGTACCAGCCTGGATCGAAAGGGCCTTCGCAGTTCGCCCTACACTCATCCTCGGACTGTAAATATGATAAGAGCGATTCCTCCATATTCCCAATCACTTCATCCCACCTCTTCTCATCGTAAGCTCTTGTACCATGGACGTATAGATACATGTAATCCTGAAATTCCAATTGATATTATTTACTTAGTACAAAAAAAGTAAAGAAATTGTTATTGTTAGCTTACTATTAGTAGAGTGGTTTAGCAAACGCTTGATGGTAAAAGTAGACCAGGAGAAGTAGTTGAAGAATCTGAGGATAGAGATAGAAGGTTACAATTAATTGCAGGTATATGGGTAAGGGCCAATGTTATGGGTATACACGCTTCCAGGTATAAGCTCGAAAAATAGGTCAACCTTGATCATAGTTAAATTAATTATAAAGCTTCGTAAATGACTGAACCGGTTAAATAAAGTTATAATTAGTTTCACAGTCTGTTACTTGCTGAACTATTTAACAACGTTGTTTTATACAATATATATGAAGGACGTTGCAATGAAAGGCGTAACTAACTTTTTAATTGCTATTACGTAATATCTTCTGAATATAAATGTTATAATTATTTCACTACTTAATTATTATAAATAATTATAATAATATATTATGATATTGATTAAGATATCAATACCTATAATCCTAAGGTTAATGATTTCCATGGAAATTACAGATTTTATTACATAGATGAAAATACCGGAAGAACATTAAATCTATTGAGAAACATTTAAAAATATCTAATATTTTTTCATAATTTCATAATAAACTGATAATAAATGTTACACAATCATCTGAAATGTTGATTAAACAAACATTTTAGGACAATTTTACAACATTATTATTATATATACAGTCGATTCCGCTTAATCGGGACAAATCCTAAAGAACTTAAACAAAACTGAGCAAATAACAAATCTGGACAAATATGCTAGTCCCGATTAAGCGTAATCGACTGTATTAGTAGTAAATTAATTTGTATCTTATATTAAGCAAAAGGTTATTGAAATTTCTTCATATAAAATGATAGCTGCAGATAAAAATGGTTATCACTTATTTATCAAAACATGGTTATGTATACAGTTTGTTGAACTCATGGTATGGGAATAATTAATTTAATAATATAATAAAAAGGCATATAAATAAATACGTTGGTAAAATATCTTGAACTAAATGAATGTAAGAAGCTGACCTAATTCATAGATAACTCCAGTTTTGCCAGATTACGTAATGCAACGATATGGCATTATCTGTTCAAGAGGAAATAGTTCATATGTTTACATCGATAAGACCAGGAACACGATTACATATAGTAATATCCTTGTGGTACTATTCCTCACCAATAATAGATACCTCACAAATGTTTACCTTTGCTTCAAAATTGATGACTTCAATAATTTTAATATCCGGTTGGTCAGAGTAGAACTTGAAATTTGAGACCATCGCTGCATCGTTGGGATTTGAGACGAGGTAGGTGAAGGCGGCGGAGGCGGCCAATTGCGGTGACTTATTCTGAAAGTACAAACAAAAAACAACATGGAATTTTGCACGAGCGTTTATCGATGGATAGCTAAAAATATGCGTTTTACTGCAGAGGCCACGAGTGGGTTTATTATTGCATTTAGACGTCGTTCGTTAGTTTTATTGCCGCCTCCGTACGTGATATTTCATATATCCTTTTCCATTTCCATTTCTTCATTTCTAAATCAGCAGTAATAACCGCGGAGAAACGCGAACAAAGCGCGATAAACACTAATCGTCGGTTCGCATGATCCATAAGCGACTTATTCATATACTTATAAAATTGGGGGTGGAAATGGTCTCACCATTCCAAAAAGATTACACAATTTTATACCATCAAATCCGTTAAAATCGCCACATTATTGCGAAACCCACTTACATAACAATTTTTTCCTTCACATTTTCATTACAAGTATTAAACGTAATAATACTGAATTTAAGAAAAACATATTTTTTTTAAGACTTAAAAATCTAAACACTTTTTACTTGAAAATACATTTTGTCAATTTGAGATTATTTATTGTAAAAAACAAACAGATTTTCAATTACTTATGTTAAATTCATAATAATACCTTAATTACTTTATTTACTAATTAGATAAAGTTTTTTTTTCCTTCTAAAAAATCTGTTCTTTTTTTAAGAAAATTTGACAAATTAACTTTGTTAACTAGAGTTAAATATTGACATTGCAACAAAGTCAAAAAAAATCATTGAACTACAAATATTTAAAATTCCTAGGAAAGTACATTACAGTTGGTTTATTAATTTCAATATCAGATCGTTTAATCGTTTAATAATTGCATGGTAATGAAATTATAGCTTTTGTACGCAGTATTTTATATAACACTTCTCAAACTCTTTATGTAAACTTGCCAAATAAAATTTTTCAACTCAAGATTAATATTTACACTGTCAAAAAATTAAATATAATTTTATATATTTGCAAATATTTAATAATTTTAAAATTAATTTTTAATTAATTACAATATTTGAACTCTAAATCTATTAATAATTTAATTATAAAAAAATAAATACAATTTAAAAAAATTATAAGTATTATTTTCATTCAATTAATATTTCAAATCGATTGATAATTGAATTGTATTCAAGTTTAATAAATTACAATAGTTTTTTTAATCAATTATGTAAATGAAATCTGTTCCTTTTACAGACGGAATTATACAACTAAAAATGAGAGTGCGTCACTGTGAGTAAATGTCACATCGATTTACTTGGTGTAACAAGACTTACATGAAAAACATCTGCAAGAAATCCAGTTTACAGCGCATTGTACTGAACGCATATAAAGAATGTTAATCATTACGTAATAATGAGGTTGATGTTTTATCTTTATACTTAGTCCTCCGGAAATGCGAAATGTGATCACTTTTTCTGCTAGTTAACAAATTATTAAACGCACGAAAGGAATGTTAATCATGACATAATAATGCGGTTGATGTTTTATCTACATACATACTCTTCCGGAAATGCGAAATATGATCTGTTTTTGCATTTTCTGAATTATTAAAACAATTAGAAAAATGCTATTTAAATTGCAGACAAATTGTACATTATATTAATTACTTAATTAGAAAAATGTGATATATAAAAAGGATATTAGTCTTTACGCTATATTCTTTTTCTATTCTATAATATAAATAAAAGATGAGTTATGATGATTGCAGCAAAGTTAAAGTAAACATTTGCACTGACCTGGTAATAGCAGATGTGCAGATATTCGTAAGGTTTCCGGCTTTCGAATATTTTGACCGTCTCGCGGTCTATGTTATAGAATTCTATGTCGTCCTTGCATTGGATAAGGCAAAGTGTGTTTTTGATTGTTTTCTCGAAGAAGAGGAGATCCTCAACATCGAATTGGTAGAGTGGTTGAGTGTTTGCAGCATCCTGGTGACAACTCAACCGGCAGTTCTGTATAGTTTTAGCGTGTTTACGATAACTCTCGATGGCACTCTCCAAATTGCTAACACATCCTCCGTAGTCATCGGAGAGGTATGCATCTACACCTCTCTTGTACAGCTCCCAGCAGGGCACGTCGGTCACATTACCAGCATCCACCAGAAAGCAGACAACAAGTAGAGCAATGCACGTGCTTGTAGCATGCATTGTACCACTGATCCAGTGAGAGACTGTGTTGCATAAGCCTACCCATTGGCGGGGAACGCGGCTTTGCGCTGACTGAACTTAAGTCTGTTAAAGTACAGTCTTCTCCCCCCAGCCCAGCGCAGACGTCCACATGTTACTCAGCTTTCGGGGCCATCTGGTCAAACCACACTTGTTCTTTTCCTTTTTTCTTCTTAGTCTTCAGTAAAGTCAAAGACCCTCAAATAAGAATAATAATTAAGAGAGAGAGAGGGAGAGGGATACAAAACTATTATTCTCTGCATAATTTTATCTGGTGAATATATCCAATTTCCGGAATCATAGGGTGCTGCGTGTGAATAATAGATTGAGTTTGGTTGGCGTGACTCCTCCGTCTCGGTAGGTCTTCAATCAAACGGCAAACTTTAAAGATCCCCTCACGAACTGACAGCAATTAAAGATAGTAAATGCTTAACCAGAGGTGAAGACTGATGGCGTGTTTCGCGCCATCAAGGCCGCGCTTAATCAGTCGTCAGTGCAAAAGGTCACCGTTCTGATATGCATTACCTAATGAATTATGGAAAATATCGATTCGGTGGGCATACCATGTCGCAAGCTCGCGTGCGAATTATTTATATTTCTTTTCTGTTCCCTTCCATTCTTTATCCCCTCAGTTATGAAAAAAAAATATATATATGTATATGCATGTATATACAAAAGAACATATTTCATTACGCTTTTTGGTTTGTCGACTTCATGAAATCCGAGCCTGTAATGTGTGTGTTCATGCTTACATATCGCCGATATCAAAGCTCACCAAGGACGGCCATCCTCCACGAAGACCGTGGAAACTACCACCCCATTTCAAGCGGGCAACCGAAATCCCAGCTTTTGCTTTTGTGTTTTCATAGTAAATGTGGCTTATCGTGGAGGGCTGTGTACGATCGTTGGCTTAGATATGGGCTTCGAACATGGCACGCTTTTCTTAATGCCAAGCCTTTGGCATTGCATATATTTTCCACACAAACGGTGATAAATCTTGCGTATCGATTTTTAAATCACACACAACACTACGTGTGTGACGTTTAGCGAAACACAGTGACGTTGTTACATGTTACGCGATATTCACCTGTAATGACCTCCTTCGTCCATGCAAAACAAAGACATCTCTCCTCAAACTTATTATTTAAGTGGACAAAACATGTATATCGCGACAAATATCTCAGTGTTAACAATATTTTTTTGTATATTGTATATAAGCTTTTTATAATCGCAAACAAAAGGAAACACACAGTAAAGATAATTAACTTTCAAGATCATAATTATCATTAATTCACAATATTGATAAAGACAACCATTGACATTGAGATCTCATTACATTGCCCTCTAAAATAATTGTGTTGAGAATCATTGATACTCGTATTAAACTGAAATCCCATAACAAAACTATATTTCTACAATTTATATTATTACATATTAATACATGAGCAATAATATAAATTGCTCTAACAAATTTTTGAAAATAATCTTGTGAAAATAATTAATGTGAAGACATTTTATTTAATTACGAAGATATAACTTTCTACTAAGTGTACTGAGTTTGTATGATTTTAAATTACGTTTAATCTAATTAAAACATAATTCTTATATTTCTTATATAAAATGTATTTATTAAAATGATAACCAAAATTTATTTCTTTTTGCTATTATGTTCATATTTTTCAATATCATTCTAATAAGATTTCGCAACTTTCCACAAATAACTGAAAAAATTAATATGTAACGAAATGACTGAGACACGGTTATTTAATTATTTGTCATATTACTTAATTATTATAATTAGATTAGCATACTACAGACAAAACTATGGTTTTTATATTGTCTGATTTGAGGTTCTGCTGTAAAAGGTTATAAAATTTCAACAAATTGATACTAACATTTTATAGATAACTTCTAAATATAACTTTTATCACATCACTTGTTGACAATTTATACTGTGAATCATATAAATGTAAACTTAATTTAATACCAAGAATAAAACATCTTTTTAAAACTAATATTTATAACATTTCTATAATTGATTTGATTCTGTAATTATTTATGAAATTATTATCTTGTAAACAGTAATAATTTCAAATTAGGATATTAAGATCAGGATATTTGAAATTAAGAAAATAGGAACATTCATTATATGTAATACACTTTGCGTTTGCTCTATTTTGATTTGATGTTTTTAACTGAAGGTACAACCTAAATTGGAAAGGCGGAACGGAGTTCGCGTAATTTGAATATGATGGATATGGCATATTGACCTTTCATTGTAATCAGCGTAAATAGCGTTTTAAGGATTAGCCCATTCGGTCTCGGAAATATCATCATCTCGCCCTAATGCCCTCCGTTTAGGTAGCAAACGATTTTTGCCTACAGAACGTACATATATTATGATGATTGTACTCTTTTTTTTCCCTTTCTACCGCCCAAAGGGGTGAGTGGGTCTGCAGGCCAAGTTGCGTTTGTGACGCAACCGATCGCGTGTCCTGCAAATATTCCAGCGGCGCCTTGATAGCCGGCCCTTATCGTACACCCAGATCCTTAAGGACTTAATGTTATGCTGCTTAGGTCACCTTAGAATACCGCAAGACCCAATGCAATAAAAGAACAAATATAAAAAAGATGAGTTTAAAAGTTGCTCATCCTGCTGATTGATTTAATTGATAAGGGTTAAGGGTATGTCGAATTGATCCGACATTGGTATTCATGTATCTGTCAGGGGATGTGATAGTTGTTGCTTGTGGTTTGGTCAAAGTCGCTTGCTTAATGGTTATTCATGGGGTTCGCGGGTTCGTGATTGGAGGGAAAAGTTATTGTCTTGGGGAGGTTCTATGTTTACGAATAAGTATATATATGGGGCACGTGTGGGTCGTTTGCGCAGGCGTTCGGGTGGTGATATCCACCGCTAAATTTTCAGCAGTGATTCAAAGTCAAACTTCTTCTAGTATAGTTAGTGTTGATTAGTCTGCGAACAGCCAAAACCATGAACGCTCTGTACGTGACAGTGTCCATTCCACTGCTTCTGCTCTTTGCAGGATTCAACCATGCACATGGTCTCACCACCTTTGGGAAATCCCAGCCGAGCAACAGCAACCAACAACCACAGCAGCTACCCGGTACTGCAACATCGGTCTCCTTATATTTTTGCCAGATTCAGTTGGTTTCTTATGTTACAGATTACAGCTAGGCCATGTACTGATAACAAAGTTTGCGAAGGAATCATAGGCGCCAGCTGCGTACAGGATCCCAAGGATCACGCCAGGAAAAGCTGCCTCTGCGGAGACAATCAGCCGCCTGTCAACGGCGGATGCTCTGCTGCTTACAGCGGTAAGTTCTCACCCTCTAATAATACATATTGACTATATTTTAAATAATAGTTATTTGTTTGGTCTTGATTAAAGCAATACAAGTAATTTTACTCAAAAAAAGCACAAAAACTTAAAAAGAATTAAAGTAAATTAATTTGCAAAGTCTATTTCTTTACTTATTTCAAATCTACATCAAATATATATTATAATCATTTCAAACAAACCAAATTTTCAAAATATAAAAAACAAATTTTTGTTAATGAATTATAGAACATTTTTCTTAAGGAATGATATCATTGAGTATAAAGACCAATCAAGACTAAAACAATGTATGAAACAATGATCAATTACCAAAACCTGTTGTTTAAACAAAACTTAAATTATATTTGGAGAGTAAAAGAAAGTTATCTGAAAATTTATATTTCTTTAGGTACATTTTTATAATGAAAAAGAGAAATACAAAAAAATGGTATTTGGAATTTATTAACTTTAATAATTTAATAGAAAAACTTGATTTTTATTCAAATACTTTCATTAAATTAATAGAAATAATTAATAGAGAAATAATTTATAACAAATTACGAAACATTCAAATAATCTTACAATAATAAAAAGTCATTTCAATTAACAAAGTTGAATTCCTAAGAAAAAAAAACTTTTAAATTGACTGAATTCCTTTGCTAATGAAATATCTTTGCAGAGAATCTCAAGAAATGGCAAGTGCATTCCATTAGCTTATTTTACCTACTTGATTATGAAAGTATCAAAATTTAAATAAATAGTTTATAAAAATTCTTCTACACTTTTTTTATAAATTCAATCCATATTTTTTTTATTCTATTGTATATAAATCTATGACTAATAATACGATACATACAAATATAAAGCAGTAATTTGTTATTAAGTATAAGCAATCATTTATATCATGTATATTTTATATTATTTAATATCAATTTCAATTAAATGTTTTAAGTTAAAAAAAATATATATAAAAGAAGAATCTATTACAAACCTACTATCAGATTGTCAAATAAATAGTAACATGTAAACAGTTGATAAAATAAGAGTTATTACAATTAATAAGATAATAATACATTATCATTAGAAACTCTTTGTGGTATGTTTCTAATGATAATGATACTTGTTTGATAACAAAAACAAACAACAACAGAAAACTTTATTTTTTATTTGTATTAAATATAATTAAAACAACTAAATTAATATTCTTAACTATAATTATTATTAAAAAAAATAAATATTAATGAATTTGTTAATAATTGTTTAAAAAAAATAGTAGATTTGTAAATTATAAACAAAATGTATTGTCCAAATATACGTTCTGTGGGGAACAGCCGCACCTCTAAGAAGCTAAAGTAATTCCAAGAATAGGGCACGACATTTTGAATTCTTCAGATTCTTTATTTAGAACGGCTTACACCTTTCTATAACGCATCAACTTCGACAATAAAAGAGCAATAAAAAACTACGTATACAAAACACACTCTGATCAATCAGGGTTAATGTTATATATTGTTACATTATTCAATACAGTAAAACAACATTAGCTATAATGTCAAAATGACAATTCAAAAAATTGCAATAAAATTGATACATTTTTATATATTTATGTATTTAATTTTCATTATTGTGATGTAACAACATATAAATGACAAACTCAAAGAATTGCTACATCTGAAAAATCATATGACAATAATTATATAATAAAACTTATATTTTATTTATTACTTTTAATGTGTTTAGTAATAATTAAATTAATTCATTATAAATATAAAATTAGACAATTTCTTACTGTTTTCAAATAATTTTCTATTTTATTTTATTATTTCTGTATCAATTTTTATTTGGCACCAAGTCTTGCTGCCCTGTATATTAATCTGTATTTTTTTTTGTAAAACGACTATAAAACACATATAGAAGTATATTTGACAAAAGACAACATGAATATTAAGTTCGCAGTTGTCAACTAATTAGATTAACATAATTGGTACGTTCATACGGATATTTTATGAACGTTAAGTGAGCGCTAACTTTATACATCTTTTGCCATAACAATAATTCAAGAATATAAAGACAATTTCGTTATTTACCTGATAAATTATGTAACAATTATTTAGATGATAATACAAATAGTTACTAATACAAGATAATACAAGTAATTACAAATAGTTAAGTCATACATTTAAAAAAAAAAAAGTTAACTGTATTTGTTATAAATTTCCTATCTCAACTAACATTTTTCATAGAGTCATTAAGGCGTGTGTTTATTGTGTGAATTTAAGATTAAGATTCTTATTAATACAGTGTAAAAAAATCAATGTTTAATACCTTGAACTGGAATGGAATGATATGAATAAAAAAAATCGCCAAGTTGATTGTGAGTATTTTCTGAATGCAAATTGGAGGTCTATGAATAAAGCCTAGTAAGTCGATTGTAGTTGATGAATATGTACAGTAAATTGATGAATGTTTGAAGAAACCCTGAGAAAATCTCAATTTGATGACTATGAATTAAGTATGAAAACCGAGGCAGAGGTGGAATCAAATATCGATACAAGCGCATTTGTTATTCCGACGTAAGTATACGTTATTCGCACTAATTACCAACATCTAGCGTGCCAAAATAGTGTTCGCGACTTCAAACGTACTACTGCAACATATAATGGGTTTGCGCATTGAGCAAATGGCAGAACGTGCTTAAAGTCAAGATTGCAATCACTGTCCATATGATCGGACGTCCGTAACTACCGGACTGCGGAGAATGAAACAAATGGAAGGACGCGACGACAGGAGGAAACGAAATGGGAAAGGACGACACGTAAATTGTTTTCGTTCGAGAACAAGAATTGCCATGAATAACGAAGGGAAATGTAATTCTGGCTGATCGTACACGAGACAAAAGAAAGCATATTTTTAGTCGCAACCCTTAATTAAAACAGCGGAGGGGTGGTAGCCTCAAGGGGGGGTTCTACGTAAATGTATGCAAATTGCATTCATGTGAATTAATCTAGGTCATAACGGTTACAACTCTAATTGAATGTTTAAATTATCGTTGCCGAAATAAATTATCCTTCCAAAGCGGACGTTCACGTCCATCCACCACCAATCGGAAGTAACAAATATAAGCAAAAATGGACACAAAAAAATACAAGCAAAAATAAATGAGTATAAGCAATTGATAATTGTGAAATCGTTCTTGTTAAAATGCGAAGAAAACGTGGCGCGGAAAGTAGCGGAAAAACTGTTGGAGGTGGGAAAAATGGAAATGGAAACGAAAATAAAAGAGGAAAAAAATCAATGGAAACCAGAGTAAACTTTACACCAATGGCAATGTTACGGCGCGGTTTAATTCTTTTCGCTTCGGTTTTCGTGGCTTGCATGACTATTCCATATATACTATGTCTTAATCTGGGATCTTACATCGAGAATTTCGAATTAGGTTAAGCAAAGCTGAAGAAACAGAAGGGAAAGAAGAAGAAAAAACGCAGTTGCTTGAACAAAAGGGGTTTGGGGTGAAAATATATATATGTGTGAAATAAATGGAGACCCTTGCACATTGAAATTCTTATAGCCATTTGATACCAATTAATTTCGCAGCATGCAACGTTACCTTTTCGAATTTCCGCATAAGAGCTGTGCGAAATTGATTTTTATAAATCTCATAATTACACGATTGCACGCACACCCCCTTTGGCACTACACTTCTCACCTGAAAAAAAATATATGTAATAAAAAGCAACGCTGCAAAGATCTGATGGTCATTTTCTAGATTGCAGACACCTCTGTTTTCAAAGCTTAGGATTGAGTTCAGATATTTTTTTAAGGATAATGAAGAGAAAATATCTTGGATGTCCTTAGTTTACTTTTATGGACAATGTGGATATAATTGACACTAAAATACAATATATCTTTTGGAAAAAAAAATTGATTTTTGTATCTGTTGGTAACTTTCAAAATTGCAACAGTTTATAAAGGATAACGAAAAGAAAATACCTTTGGAGTCTAACATACAAGATAGTAAATGAAAAGCATTCTCACAGCCTCTTCCTAAAAAAGCGTAAAGCAATAGTGCAAAGATTTATTTTCAACAAAGCGTAGGATGGAGTTTATACAGTTTTTGGAGGATAATTTAACGAAAGTTTATCTTTAAGAATATTTAAACAAATTGTAATGTAATTCAAACCATTTTTCTTGAAACGGTAAAAAAAATTATGTTCTGATGTAACTTTCTAGCCTGAAGAAAGTTAGCAACTAAATAATAACAATATTCATTATATAAACTCATATAAACAAAACTTATTGTCTTTTATTTGTTTTTTTTGTAATTTATTTTTATTTTTATAATTATTCCTCAGAAAAGTATAAAAATAACAAAATCTAATAATTCCGATATTACAAGATACAATTGTCTTGTAATATATAATATATATATAATATATTCTTACAGTTATAATCAGACATTCATAACATCTAAGATTTATTTCTGATGTAAGCTATTACTATTTACATTATTGATTCGTAAGTCTGCGCTGTTGAATCTACGTTGCGCGGTACAAATATATAACATACTTTATATTCATAACACGACCGAATAAAGCGTTTAGCTATTATTACGCAATTGAGGAAATCAAAAGATGACCAATCCATTTTTGGAAGAGGAAACCATACACTGTACAATAAAAAAATAAATTGTAGGCGTTCACTGCTATTTTCAGGTTCAAATGTTTTCAAATTCACTTCCATCCGCAAGAAGTCACGTACAGATTTTATAGATCAAAGGAAAATAATTTCATTCGACACAAAGGAAATAATTGCCATTGTTACATGAAAAATTTACTACCTCATTTTTTGATATAATTCAACAGATCAGAATTATAATTTTCAATGTAATTTTTGTACTTTTAATAAAAATGATAAAATTTCAAGAGAATACATTAATTTTGTATTTATAATGTTATATAATTTGACTTCATACCACTAGATTTGATTTTGTGTACTATTCAAAAAATCAGTTATTTTTCAATGAAAATTTGTTTAATACAAAGTATTTTTTGGAATATAAATAAAAACAATGAATTTAACGAATTGTTACTATTGACAATTATAATGTCCGTATTATTATTTTTAACATTGCTTTTGTTGATTTACTACAATTAGAAAAATATATGTACATTTAAACAAAATATTGAAAGTTTGGTGATTTTCATTTTGTATTGTAGTAGTCTCAAACTGTTTACATTGTAATGTTGAAAGATATACCGGGTGTAAAATCCACTTTACACTTACCATAAGTGTTCAGTATCTTAAATTAGGTGTAAGTTAATACTTTACATAGATTCTACTACGATATACAGCCTAAGTTAATAAATGGTATAAAATATATTGACAAATAAATAAGGACAAGTACTCTTCACTTTACTACCTGTAATTTCGTTCAGTGGCAAATGTATTTGTAATCCTAAAATAGTACAGATGTCGACGAAAAGAAAAAGTATGGTTTAAATATGATTAATTAGAAGTTTGTTGCATAATTTTTAGCGATTAACATATTGTGTCTTGAGTAAATGATTTAATTAGTATTTTTGTAGTAACCAAATTATTATGTCATGATAATTTGCAAAGGGTTTGAAAACTTATTTGAAACGCGTGTCGTACATGTGTACAAAACTAATTTCCGAATCAAAGCATGTAGCGGAAAGTATCCTTATTAGCGTGCATTGTAATTATACACGCTAGAAGTAAAATAAATACAAACTGGAATCGCTTTTGTGTAATTTGCGCGGACACGTTTCGCACGCACCGGGATTCGCGTGCGGCACGCTGCGTTTCGCACAACCTGTGTGAATTTTACCTAAATGGATGATTGTTTGTTGCAGGACCTAACCATCTCTGCAAAGCCAACAAGGATTGCGTCGAAGGAGCCAAGTGTATTGACGTCGAAAAGAACGGCAGCCAAATCACGGAAAAACTCTGCAAGTGCACAGAAGGCCTTGTCGAGCACAACAATATGTGCAGCGGTAAGTGAAAACGACGGATAGCGGAGCGTAGTAGCCTAAATACCTGGAACGTCCGCCTATACCAACAAAAATATTTATTTAAAAAAAACTAAACTTTGCGGTACATGATCAATAGATTCGAAGAAATGATTTAAAGTAGCGGCAAAAAATAACTAATATAAGGATCTCGTTGTAAACGCGCCAGTTTCCGGAGCGAGGCGAACGGAAGGGTAGAAAAGAAATTAAAAACGAGAAGAATAGGGGTTGAGGAAGAAAAAAAGAAAAGTAATGTATATTATAAAAAGCTAGGCTCGACCTTCGCGGATCTGATAAAAAGGGAAAAAAATCGTGACAACACGACGGATCGCGTGGATACGTTTAATTAATGTGCTAAACAACGCCGTGCCCTTTCAAGTATGCAAATCGCGCTCTCCTGAGCCCTTATTGCAGCGCGCCGTCTACCCGTGGATAAATGTTACAAAAGAATCTTCTATGCTCTTCTGTTCCAGGTGGAACTCCAACAAGTGTCCTCTCGGGCCTCATCATTCTCATGGCTTTGACCAGAACTTTACTATACTGAACACTTCAAAACGCACAAAACGATAATGCTTCGATCACACATTACGCGTGCACCCATCGAAGGACAGTTGTATTCGCATCTAATCCTCTAAAGGTCCTTCGGCAATACGCACGCCTTTTTAATGCATTCATAGCTTCAAAACAAATATTAATTATAACCCAAAATTATTAATAATAAACATTATTACTAAATATATTAATTATAAAAAAAACAAGAAATATTAATAATAATATGAATTCAAAGAGAATAGCGTTGAAGCACCTCAAGTAATTTCTCGAAACGCATTTATTTATTTCTGTGGAACATCAGATAGTAATCCTTTATTACTCTTCAAATTGTTATATAATGTAGATACTAACGGCACCAGTATTGGAAAATCAAATCAATGGAACACGCACCTTTTAAATTGTAATTTTATATGTCTCAAATATGTGTACTGCATTGTTTCTAAATAAAACTTTCGAAAACTACTGCAAATCCTACTGAAAAATTGAAATTTTCTTTGCTCTATTTCACATTCATTTTGTCGCTATTCCAGGTAAGTAGTTTTTTTTTTCTTTCTGCGTTATTGATTTGCGTATATTCACTTTTTACTCAGTAGAAGATTGGATAATAATGAACACACGTGGAACCGTACTAATGAGAATTACATAAGCTAAGATTGTACTATTCAAATGAGTTCATAATTTTTATGAAAAGGTTAATGATAATCAATTTTAAACTATAAACATTAATCATATATGTTATTTATATACAAATAAATGAGTTTTTAAATAAAGACATATTAACAAAAGAAAATAAAACTATTATTATTTTTTCTTTCATCTTGTAATGATGGACCAGAAGGTTTTGCTTTGACCATTGGACTCATCCAGATGTAAAGAAAATTATTTTTTTCTGCGAAATCCATTATATCTTGTTGCATCATGGTACAAGTGAAAACTATAGATTTATGGCATGTAAATAAAACTAACCATTCGTCCGTTTCAATTAATGTGCATTTTACAATTTATCGTTTTATAATCGATTATTATCTTTGCATAAGTCTCCAATTGTTGCGTAACGCGATGCGGGACCTTCAATCTATTGAGAATTAAGTAAGATTGAAATATTTTGTTATTTTTACGGTTTTAAATAGCAAGTTTTTTGAGAGATTAAATGAAAAATATGTGTTGATGTAAAACATATGTCATTTTTTTGTCGTCCTATTTTACTACACCCGACATTTTTGAAACGCATTAGTTTTACTTTACTTGAGTTGCCTCCTTTTTGTAACTAATAATCAATAAAATTATGTTATTTTATTAAAAAAAAAACAATTTTATTTGTATATTATTTCCGCCTATTGACATAAATATTTAAGTCAGATAACTTCGCAATATTTACATAATTCTAGTATGTTTACTAGTTTTGTCAGTTTTGATCAATAGTTTGTTTATTGTATTTTCGCTCTTTCTATTTTGCCACTGCTTTTTTTTAATGTAAAGTATTTAGAATTATTAAATATTATACGTAAAAACGAAACCGGTTTTGGATTTATTTGTTAATTAAATTAATTTCGTTACGTATGTTATTAGGATATGCACACAAATAAGCAGTGTTTTCTAATTGGGAGTCTCTAGATTTCAGTGCTCCGATTGGGTGATATTATCAACCGCTAGACTGCATTTCTTTTTTAAAACAGTACTTAATTGAGCGACCATGCGTACATATGTGAGTTAGATGAGGCTGGAATATCACCCGTTTCTTCAGTAAAATACACATTTAACTCTCAAATATTAACATCATCATTCTAAGAATTAAAAGGTAATTATAATCTAATATTGTTTTCTCAAACGTAGAGGAAACTGAAGATGTTTGTTTGTAATAGTAAATATTTTGTTTTTGTTTTCTTCCAGAAAGTAACGTTATTATTTTTTGGGCGTGAGTTGTGAATTGGTACGCAATTGTTTGAATATTCAAATGTGTTTCTATTAAGTAAGAGTTGGTTTAAACGGGTTTTCGACACGTCGGGACGCCGAGCTGTTAGTCGCTCCAAGAGCGGAGTTCAAATGCAGCTGATAAAGTGCACAGAGTAATGGTTCCAGTTAGGGAAAATGGTCCTTAGAGATGGTGCCCAGTAGTTTTTAGTGATCGGTGGTGGTGGAAGGGATTTGGAGTAATAATAAAGCGAAATAAAAGGCAGAGACGTGGTATGAGCCGGGCCACATGCAGTCGGTGGCTTCGGGTCAGGTAGAAGGATCACAAACAAAAAATTACATATATATTTTCAGTCGTTATGCCTTAATAGTTCGAACTTTTGGGTTTCGATTATGATTGTGATATTTGATCAGTAAGTTTGTTTTGTAATTGGTGATAACAATAATGCCGTGAACAATGTAAGAAATGATTCTTTCCGTCTGTCCCTCCGAGACTCATTTTTGGTACGGACCATCGCAAGTGCACGTCGAACTAGTCCACGAAGTGCAAATCTAGTCAAAGAAGCGATGCAAATTTGAAATCAATTAGGCATGGATTTCGCGACGGTAAGACAATACCTAATCACCAGCTCCTTTGTCCTGGGCACCGTCGGTAATTTGGCGGCCCTATGGATCCTATATAAATCCTCGAAGATGAGAAACCCCAAGCACGTTCTGATGCTCAGGTGCCTGGCAGTCAACGATTTGATAGCGCAAGTAGGGATGCTTCTACTTACAAACCTACCCAAGTACATCACGATCCCGGTCTACTGGAAGTGCACCTTCTTTGTGATGCTAAGGGCTTTCGGCCTTGGCTCCGGCTGTCTCGCATTCGTCATGGCCATGGAGAGGTGGCTCGCCCTCACCAGACCCTTCGTATATCAACAGGTAATTATTATTGCTTATCGAGTCGTATCAATTACCCACCGAGCACGACAATTAAAGCTAATAAAATTGTTGTGGCCCTAAATTGGATTCAATTAATGTTTATTCCAGTACGTGACAAAAATAGTCCTAAAACGAGTCATATTCTCCTTGTGGACCTTCGCCGCTCTGTTAACTTTGATGCCGCTCTTCGGGTTCGGTCTTTTCTACGAAGATGGAAAATGCCACAGGTATAGAGAGGCCACCCAGCTACGAGACATTATCTACGCCTATCTCTTTTTCACGTTTGGTAAAATTTTACTAAATGACCAACTAAAGCACGTGTTGCTAATATTTATTATTTAATCGACAGGGACGAGCCTGTGCACGTGCATAGCGTTCTTCAACACGAAAGTCTTCTACGCCCTCTCGCACATCGGTAAAAAGCAAAAGAAAGTCCTCGTGCGTAGAATCAGCCGCTCAATCATCAAAGAAAAGAAGACGCGAAACTTAGCGCTTCCTGAAGAACTTGCCTTCGCTAAACTCATGGCCTTCATATGCATTGTCTTCATTCTCTGCTGGATGCCTCAAATGGTATGCAACAAAAAAAAACAATCAAAGCAATTATCATATAACATTCTTCTAGGTTGCTATCCCTCTGGGACACTTCTTCGCCGAATCGAAATTGTACAGGGTATTAGCACGTATCGCTGACGTGTTGATGTGTGTCTACTTTACGCTCGATCCGTATATCTATGTGTTGCATCAGTACATGGAAAAGGGCAGATTCAGGGTGCCGTTCAAATGGCAGAGGTCAAATCCAGCAACACCCACGACCGAAATAATCCGACCTCCGTCCTTCAGCCTCGGCCAAATGCAGACCGAAACCGTCTAAGTAGACATCCGAGTCGCGCTTAATTTCTATGTGCCATACGAGCTTAACTGTTGTAAATAGTTGTTTGTAGATCAATTTAAATAAAACCAAACGAAAAGCCAATGAATAGGGAGAGCAGACGACAACAACGAATCTCCGCTCGTCAACGACGACGTGCGGCCTGCAACGTAGATAAATTCTATTATCAGTGGGCGTTCTGATAACATTATTTACCCGCTTTATGTGATTGCGTTATGCAACGTACCTGCATCGAGTTAAAGAAAGAGGATATACTCGATTGTTATGTATTAGAAATATGTATTCTATTAAAAAGAAACAATTTTATTCTCGTTCTACTTGTAGAATCTTTAGAAACACCCAATCCTTAATTAATACTTATTCAGATAAGCAGATGAACGATATCATAGACTAAAAATACCTTTACAGTTCATCAACATTTCACAGATTTTCAGTATTCAAGTTAATTCTGAAACACAGACTTTATAATCAACATATACTATCTTTAAACGCAATGACATTCAAACGTTTTGACTTTTGAACTTTGCTTTTGGAAAAAAAAAATAAAGAATAAACTTATATTATAATATAAAAAAAACTCTGCGGCAGAAAAACGAGATTTTAAAAACTCAATAACTCATTGATTCGTTTAAGAAATTATAAATATTATGTATTGAACTAAATAATGTGATACTAACAACATAACATTATTGGTTGAATTTCCCTTAACCATGCATAAAACCTAAGAATAGATTTTTATAATTGCCCGTTTCTCTGCCGCACCCTGTATATAAATATACGTTTAAACGTGCGTATTAAAACCTGACATTTTTTTATTATATCAATTTAGAAGAGATTCTTACCAAATGCTGTATAGATAGGAAATGAAATAACATGAAAACAATTTAGTTTCTAATATGAAATAATGTATAATGTATTACTCTTTATTGGTTATGTTTCAGTTGTCTATAACAGATTTACTAGAAGTTATGAAAAACATTTAATTTTTATTTTAAAAATAAAATCACAAATATCCTAGAATACGCTGTTTCCCGTCAACATTTAGATCCATATTTTTTCTAAAATAATAATAATACTAAGAAAATTGGTGTTCACAACACAGTTTGTTATCTATATATATATATAAAATAAAAATATTAAAAACAAATAACAGAAAAAACAAGCTTCTCATAAAGTTATTTTAAAATGTCAACACATTACATTCAATAGACTTTCTTTACAATAAAATATAGATAAAAAATTTATAAATTTATATATAATAATATTTGTACCATTTTAAAAATAATACATTACTCAGTATCCTTTATGCAATATGAAACAAACTTGCATTAGGTTAGAGCATATCAAATATTTAAATGTTACTTTCACTACTCTAAATGCTTTCTCGTAAACTCTAGGCACATTTATATACGATTATAAGAAATCGAATTTTGTATATTGTTAAAAAAAAATCATCCAGTATATATGTCGTTCAATGATTCCAAAAGTTATAATTACAATGGCAATGTAAGGGTAAAATTTTCAATATAAAAACTATGAAAAATGCCATTGTGAATTAAAAGGAATTTCTATGAAACACTATGTATGTCTGTACATAAAATTTGAAATTAGTACGGTGATATGTGAATATCCCTAATTAAATGAATCGAAAACATGTAAATATAGTCAAGCAATACTTTAAAAACTAAATTGCACAAATGTATGTTTGAAATAGCCTGGTCTTTAAGTACTTTACATAAAATATTTACAAATTATGTCAGGTGCTTTACTGCACTTGGCAGGATAAACGCTAAGTCATATTTTTGAGACTAATCCTACCAGACGTTTTGCTAGATGGATTTGATAATCTGAGAAGTTTAACCGAAGTTACGGATTTTTCCTTCCCTGCGATCAACGTTCTTTTGGTGCGCTTCTCCTGATTTTCTTCGGAATCCGTGCCGGTTTCTTCTAAAATCTCAGTCCCGTTTGTGGTAGAACTGCCTTCAGAAGTCGAAGACAACTTTCTTTGCATATCCAGATTAGTTGTCCCATCAGTCCTGTCAACATAGAATGAATTGCTGACCATTTGAAAACATCGATCCAACTATTTTGTTTATAAAAGAAATAATTACAAACAAAATAATATCATGCAATTTCCTTTGTAATCCGAAAACAAGTGACGAAATATAGAAAATGTATAAATGTATATGCAAATGCAATGTGTTAACTCATTGCTTCAATAGCAGCTTTTCAGGAAATAATAAATAACTAAGCTTATGCAAATTCGATTAAATCTTATTTAGAAAAGTAATGAGTTAGTTGCATGCAGAGCTTACAAAACGTTATACCAACCTTTTAGTTCGTATTAATCGTGTTGTTGCAGGAGATATATGCGATTTTATAGTCATAACAGGTGACACCTTATTTATGGACGATCTTACAATTGGCGATACATTCCACTCATTGATCCTATACCAATTTACATTGAAACATCTATAAACAAAAAGTGCGTACATGCAAACTTACCGCCTTGTGTCCAAGGGCTTGAACTGCCTCCTCATGGCTTTGATCTGATTCAAGGTATCACCTTGAGTCATCAACGAAGATTTCTGTACCGGCGAAGATTTAAACACATCCTTTTCGAGCATCTCTAAATGCACGGTCTTTAAAATACGGCATACTTCCGGTGACAACTCATCTTCATCCTCTTCTACCACATCATCAGCATAGATACCCTTCTCGTGATATGGAGGGCTATTAAGTGCCTTCGCCCTGCGAAAAGCCTCTCCTTCCTTCCACATTTGCTCTTGCTTGCTGAAATCACGTACAAATGAATAGCAATTATAGTCACAGCTACATTAATTGCATGTTCTATTTATAGCACATTCGTAAAGACAGTGAAAATATTCACACACGCGAATAAAATCAATATCAAACATGCATTGTTTGCCAAATAGTCTAATTTTAGTTCTTTACATTCTTCAGAGTACTCCGAAAATAATTGATCTCTGCCAAAGCGAATAAAACAACGAAAATGTATATTCTTGAAATGATTAATTTTATAAACATTTGCTTGATAAAATGTCTGTAATGCACGTTTCTAAATCAGGAATGACTAATTCCATCAATGACTGCATTGTTCTAAAAATATCATGTAGATGGAATTGACAAAATATAATAGCACTGTTTCAATTTAAATCTTGCAAAAGAATGATTACAATCTATATACCTTTCCAACCATACTTGTTGATGGCCAATAACAGATCCAGGTCTGCACATTCGAATCCAAGCAATGGCTTCTTTAGCCGCAAAGCGGTAATGTTTCATGATGTAACAAGCGATCAAAGTTCCAGTCCTGCCTAAACCAGCTACAAAATCAAATATATGAACAATCTAAACTAATATAACAATAACAATATAAATTACCTTTGCAGTGGACTGCTAAAGCTCCAGATGTTTGTTCAGATATTTTCAAAAATTCTTGCAAAATCTTGTCATTTGGAGTACTACCATCAAGGAAGTACAAATCATAGTGCTTAAACCCAGCAGCAACAAATTTTTCAGCATCATAATTTTTCTTATTTAGTCTTATAATGGCCTTAACATTATTTGTCTTGAAATAATTAAAATAAAAGTTGGGTGCATGTAAAGGGTACCCATGGTGTATCCTGCTTTTGTTGTGCGGCCCACAAAAACCAATAAATTTATCCGGTACAATCCAATTCAAGTCACCATTCTCCACATACTCGTAGTGCTCATACATAGTCTGATTGAAATTACTGAAATGGAAAAATCCATATTGCTTTGCTCTGTGAAATCCATATAGACAATCTTTCAGAGAAATTGTGTACGGTTCACCAACAGATGCATCTCTGAATTCAATAAATTCCAAAACGTTTTTCTTATTCAACACTTCATAAGCATTCTGTGGAGTAAAGTCCAGATATAAGATCTAAAAATATAATAATATTACTTATTTGTCATGTTGTTTTTTTTTGTGTGATTTACAGCATAGCATCCTATTAAGCAAGCTGCATTCACTCGGCTCTTTTTATCCTCTGTTGTTACATGGACAATGCGTTTATGTTTAGAAGATGCGGAGCTTAATTTCTTGTTTAGCCTATTACAGTAACTGTACAGCATTGAGATGTTGAGTGGGCCAAAGTCATTGAAAAAGCTTTCATAATGTAACACATTCTCAATTGAAAAACAATGTGTAGTAGATGTTGTTCTCGACTGCTCATCATTGCTCAATGTTACAAAGTAGAGTCGATCTGTAATCATCAATTATTATTATTGCAATTTCTTTTTTACATTATGATTAATTGAAATATACCTTCAATAAATTCTGCAGCATGTTTAAGTATATCTTGACTCTGCATTTTGCCAAATATTTTGTACCTACAACAAAAAGTTCTTAGAAGTTGTAAAACTTTATTTAAACTATTTAAAAATTAAAAATAAATATTTTAAAAGAACTAACAGTATATATTTCACTTGTAAACAGAACAAAATTGTCCGTTATACTTTTGAATATTGTGCATAATGCAACTGCGACAAATGAGCTATGAAAGTTCTTCAGTAAAACAATTGTTTTATGCGCTCTGCAACATTACAAATTCCGTTCAAGAAAATAACTGCCGCCATGACAGAATAACAGTTACCAAAAAATAAATTTGCTGCCAACCGCAACCGCCACAATTGAAATAACTAAAATTCCCTACAACTAACTAATTTATAACCATGATCATAACAGTTTGCACAAATCTGTCAGTTAATTAATTACATGATTAGCAATCTATACATGCGTCCATGAAAGCCAGCTATCTAGGATGATAAGTTGTCGGAATTCCCAATCGTTTTCACGGCTTGTAAATCCCACAGTACCATACAATTTGGGTCATTCCCAAAGGCTAAGTTGTATAAAAAATAGAAAGTTTTACTTTCTACAGCAAAACGGTGCTGATACGTTTCAAATGTAAAGCAGAGCTCGTCGAAACATGTCTTCCAAAGCAGAGAAAGTCAATCCAACAGTCTACATAGTTTTCCTGTCCCTGGTGTTGGATCTGCTTGCATTCACATTGATCCTCCCATTGCTGCCTTCCCTGCTCGATCACTATAAACACAATGATAGCATTGGATTATATTCATGGCTGTCTGGGAAAATCCAGTTCTTCCAGGAGCTTGTGGGTGCTCCAGAGCACTACAACTCTGTGCTGTTCGGTGGGTTTATGGGCTCCATGTTTAGTTTCCTGCAGTTTGTTGCCTCTCCAATTGTTGGAGGAGTCTCAGATGTAATAGGAAGGAAGCCAGTGATGATAACATGTCTGGTAAGAATATTTAACAATATCTTAAATTGAAGTAATTACAATGAAAATTCTACAGGTTGGAATTGCCTCCTCTTATGTGATGTGGGCACTATCCAGTAATTTTGCCCTATTTATTTTGGCTAGGTTTATTGGTGGAATCAGCAAAGGGAATGTGTCTTTAAGCATGGCTATAATAGCAGATGTTTCAACAGTTCACACTAAAGGAAGAGGCATGGTAAGTGATGAATTTTTAAACATATTATCAATATAAATAAGTAAATAATGTTTTAGGCTTTGGTGGGTATAGCTTTTTCTTTGGGGTTCATAATTGGACCTCTAATTGGCGCAGGTTTTGCCATTTGGGCTAAGACCAAAACAGGGAACTGGTTTGTGGTTCCAGCCATATTTGCCATATTCCTAGCAACCGCAGATTTACTATTTTTCACATTGTATTTCAAGGAGACTTTACCAAAGGTAAACAAACAAAAAAATTGCGAATTTAATGAACAAATATTTACATTGAGCAAACAATATTTACAGGAGAAACGATCGAAAATTGGAATTTGGAAGAGTTTAGATAACGCCAAGGCTCTAATCAATATCAAAGAATTGTTTAGATTTTCTACTGTGACGAATATCAAACCTGACGATGTTAAGAAGTTGCGCGTCATAGGTTTGGTCTATTTCGTTTACTTGTTTATCTACAGTGGACTAGAGTTCACACTAACTTTCTTAACACATCACGTTTTCCATTATAACTCTATGCAGCAAGGCTGGATGTTTTTTGTTATTGGTATTACCATGGCTTTGATGCAAGGAGGATATGTTAGGAGGATAAAGCCAGAGAAAACGAAGCAGACTGCAGTATTAGGACTTTGGCTGATCATACCATCCTTCATTTGCGTTGGTATAGCCAATAATATATACGTATTATACTTAGGACTACTTATTTTCGCTATATGTAAGAAACCTATTAATAAGTAATTTAGGTCACATAATAAACGTTTCTTATTTACAGCTACGGCGATGGTGGTTCCATCCATGACAGTATTGGCCTCGAATTTCGGATCGGAGCAGCAGAAAGGTACGGTGATGGGTATTTTCCGATCTTTGGGAGCTTTGGCCAGAGCTGTGGGTCCGATATTTGCAAGTATTGCTTTTTGGAGTGTTGGATCGACGCTGACTTATCTAACTGGATCAGTCCTACTCCTGTGGCCTGTGTTGACATTGAAAAGAAATTTTTGAAGAAAATGCCATAAGTATTCTATAATCATCACAAAATGTGATACAATAATCAAAAATAGAACTGTGATAACAATTCTTAAAGAAAATATAGGCAGAAAATCAAATGAATTGGATATATATCATTAATAAGCATATGTATTATTGTTAAATTATTTAAAAATTTGGAGATTAGATAAATTAATTGTTAATGTTGCATTTGAGAAATTATATTGTTAAAATATTCTATAGACATATTTTTCAACTTTTTATAATGAAATAAACAGAATTTCCTATTAATTATTATTTTGATAAATGCAATATTCCTCTTTAACATTTCCATTTAATATTTCTTTCATAAATTAACTGCAGTATTTTTGTATAAGTTTATAAATTCAATAACAGTATATCTCTTCCGACCCTATATTATAAATGAAATAACAGCAAACAATTTAAATTACAGGAATTCTGTAAGTTTGAAGTTAGTTATAATTGATGATTGATCAAAGATAAGTTGGCAGCATTGTTATTATTATTTGGATAGGCATGCGTTGGTGTTGTAGGTGTACCGGGTACAACCCAACGCACCCAGCAATACCCATGGTTGTATACAGAGAAGATGAGCCAACTTCGCGGTAGTGATTTCTTTCTTTTGATGCTCACTACCTTTTTTCATCCAATGTAGTTTAGTCGGTTGACATCGTGACAATATAATCGATTTAGAGTTTAAATAACCTATATTTATGTTTCTTCGCGGCGAAGAAAGCAATAAGACTCATCTAAGCAGCTATGTTGAGAGGAAGCATGTGAAAGTGACGAGGGGTTGGGCAGGGCCTGGTCGGTGTTCGTTTTAGTTTTAATTAGAATAGTGACTCAAGCCGGGTCAATATGGCTGCAAACAATAATCAGAATGGTTGGCTAAACAGTCTGGGAATTGGTTATGGCACTCCGCTCAGCGTCGTTCCCGAGCAGCAAGCGGGAACTTCGGAATGTAACCAGTTTGAACAACTGGATAGAGCTGCTACTGGCAGCAATACCCTCAAGGTAGATAATCATAACACTATCAAAAAATCCTTCCTTCACACTCTTAATCCTTGCAGAGAAATCCCAAGATGGAACTAACAAAGAATGATCTCCTTAAGCTAGTTACCTATTTTGAAGGTGAAATACAAGCAAGAGACATTGTGATTGCAGCTTTGAAGGTAACTATATTAGGTGATGAAAGTAATTTGTTTACTATAATAAAATTCAAATTATTTTTAGTCTGAAAAGTTGAAACAAATAGTGAACATGGGTAGATATAGACCAGCAGTGATTGCTGATCCATACACTGCCCTTTTAAGGGATTGCATTGTGGATGGTCCAAATGCGAAACCTGCAGTTAGTGAGAGAGATATTACACAGGCAGCTGAACAGCAGCTACAGGCCCTTGAACAGGTTAGTTGTAAAATTGAAATTGTTTTAAGACAAATCAAATATTTGTGTTCGCACAGTTGGCTTTGCAGCAACGAAGAGCTCATCAGCATATGGTCAATATATTGAAAGATGCTGAGAGTAAACATAAAAAAGTAATCCAAGAGCTGGAGGAAGAGAAATGCAAGCATGAGCATGACACAGCTCAGGGTGATGATATCACTTATGGATTGGAAATGGAAAGGACTAGGCTAAGGCAGGAGTTGGAAGTTGAGAAGACTTCTAGGAAAAAGTTGGAGAAAGAAGTGAAGAGGCAGCAAGAGTTAGCAGATGAAGAAAGGGGAAGGCAAAAACAGATTGTGTTATTGCTTTTGGCAGAAAGGAAAAAAATAATTGTTAAATATATTGAGGAGAGGAAGAGAAGTGAAGATCTGGCTCAAGTAATTGAATGGAAAGGTTATTATATTGAATGCAGATTTAATTCATTTGTTTGTTTTTAGATCTTGTCTGAGGAGAAAGCCAAAATTGATACTATGGCAGAAGGTTTAGAGGAAGAGAGTAAAAAGTCTTTGCAGATGGAAGCAGAATTAGAGAAGCAGCTACATGTTTTCGAGGGTGATAAGAAAACGTTGAAAACCTCACTGGCGAATAAGGATGCTCGGTGTCAGGAGTTGGAGATGGAGTTGCAAAAGTTAAAGCTGGAAATTGAAGCTTTAAGGTCGCGGCCTAGGGATCCGGGTGATACTGCGGCTCCTATGACCAGTAGTGTAGCGAAAGTTGTTCAACCTACAGCTACTGTGTCCAGTGTTCCAGTATCAGGACCAAGTAAATAATTGAAATAATACCATTGATTGAGTGTAATATTGTTATGGTTTATTTTTTATTTGCAGCAACTGGAATCGCCCAATCAGTAACCCCAGGTCAGGCATTAAGGCAAACGGCTATAGCTCCAATCCCAATTCCACCAAAGGTAAACGCGTGCAGCCAGCCGTTTGGAAGTAATTGTTAATCAGGCTATGATTTAGGCTTCCACTGTTCAACCGCAGGCAAACCCCGGTCTATCGACGATTAGGACAGCACCTAACAAGGGCGCCACCTCTGCCGCCGCCGCCTTCCATCAGCCATACACCCAGACTTCCGCTCCGCAGACTCCGCCGAAAAAGGGCTCAGTGGCTGGTAGGGGCGTCCCACCTCCAATACCTCCAAATAAACCAGTTATTCCTAGCAAACAGAATGCCGTGCGACGTCCAGAGACCGCCGAAGGGGATAAAAAAAAGCCCAGTGGGAGTAAAGAAGTCGTCGGACAGCCGGAAGCCGGGCGCAGCACACCCGGCATTGAGATGTTAGGTCAAGAGTTGGCGGATTTTCAGCAAATGTTCGTAACGATGGCAACTAGCAATAATACTTAAAATACCTACTTTTAGCATTAAAAGGGGGATTTTTACATATACCTCTCTGGATAAATATACCGGGTGTAGTAGCTCAGAACGATCAAGGATTTCTATTCGACACGAAAATCGCTGAAAGGTTCTTGAAATTCAAAGCAAAAATAAAGCAACAAAACAAACATGTAACATTGAAATATCTCTAGTGCTTTGCAGCTTTTTCAGGTAAGACTAAGAATGCTGCACTTATTTACATTTGTTAAATTGAATCTCACCATCATCGAACGAATCGCGTTTTTTGATTCAATCGCTGAGGCTTATTCTTAGTTGAGAAAGCTGAAAGTTGCGAACGCCTCTTGTTTGTTACTGTAATATAATAGGCATGTAGTTGCTAACATATCGGTTGGGCAACGTAACACTCAATCAATCACCACGCGTCGAGTCAGTAGAATAGGAGTAAACTAGTAACCGTTGCTTGTTTCCGAAACGGGAGGTTGTATCATCATGGCAGAGCAGAAGATTAGAAGTGTTTTTATTCCTTCATTATATTTGTGCTGTAATTTCTGGAGCTTGGGCTTTCTGAGTTTGCTGCACTCTGTGTATTCATTTCAATGTGATCAGTTTTATGGAGCTACTGAGCCGTATTTTTTATACAATATAATCGAGTAGTTTCTTGCCAAAAAAAAATGAAGAGAAAAAGTAATTAACTAAACTGGAATAAGAGTTATAATGATAATAATAATAAGGAAACAGTCACCGAAAAAATATGTCTAAATTAGATTTTAATAATCAATCATTAAGAGAAAGAAACTTAATTTCTGTGATTAAACGCATCTATCCTGTGTAGGATCTAGTTAAAGAAAAGAAGAGATGAACAAGAAGACGACGAGATAAGCTCCCCTCCACCTTGTTATGTGATACTTTTCTTGATGGAATATACAATTGTATCTTGTTTGTTCACTCCTTAAGTCAAGCATTTCGGATTTTTGGCCACCGCAACAACCACAAAAAAAGAAAAAGAATAATCAATTATGCAAGCAATAAACAAGGAAGCGTCGAAAGCAGGGATAAAATTTGTCCTAGTCAGTAATTATTAATTTACCCTGTATGTGTGTATATATAGATTATATAACTGTACTTAATGACTATACATATTTTTTTACGACTATTTATTTGTGATCGTCTTCTTTCTGATAATTTATCGCGTCTGCATTGAACGAGAAACTATGAAAAAACAAAACGAAAGTAAACCAGTTGCGGTGCCCAAAAGTCACCACGTTTTAAATGAGACTCAATAATATTACTAAAATATTTTTGAACAGAACTAAAAAAAAATAATCTTATTTTTGTACAAAACGGTATATTTTGTACTAATTTCTCATCGTTGTATTTTCTAAGGTTCTTTTTATTTCTAGTTTTTAATATATATATCAAGGTTTTTTTCTTTCTTTATTTTGTAAACATGTGTTTTCCAATCGAGGCTCGCATTCAGTCCATGCAAAGGTGTATTTTTTACTTATTACGCTAAGCTTATTATGTCCTAATTGAATTATATAATGTAAGCTAGTCTATAGTTTAGTCTAGCTGTTCTGCGACGCGTCGAACAGCGACGAGTGAAGCGGAGCAAGAGTACAATAACGAAGTGTAAAAGAAAAATAAAAGGATAATAAGAAGAGTTCAATTCATTGATTTCCATTAGTTTCAGTTCGAAACTATAAGTTCTCAAATATTTATCTAATCGAAGGTAACATGCAGATATCAGTTTTTATAGCCCTATGTATTACGATCTCGAATGTATTGAGTAATCATAAAGTGTAAGTACCTTGATGAATGAAGAATAAATAATTATTATATGCTTATAGAAAATGAATTAAAACAATGACGAAAATGAATAATTTCGAATAAAATGAAACTAACTCTAAATCGTTGAAAACCTATGCTTTTTTTTGTTTTATTTAATTTATATTCCGCGCACGGCAGAAATAACACCGAGTATGTCTCGGAGGAGACGAGCCTCTCCTTACGGGACATTCTACCCATCAGGACGAGGTCCTACGACAAGAATCGTGCACCGAAACTGCAGGGACAACCCACAATTGTTTACTTCCACGTTACGGTTCTCTCGTTAGATTCCATAAACGAAGAATCTATGGTATGTATAGTTACACAGTGTTAAGTTAATTTAGTACAAAAGCGTTGTAGTATTATTTTGCGTAATGCTTTTCAAAATCTTAGTTTCAGGTATTTTTTATCGAATGTTTTTGAAAAATACTAATTACAGCTATTGGTGGGAAAATGATTACATTTAGTATTTGCAGTACTAATTAATTCCAATTGAAATCACTGTTTGAAAATTAGCAGTGCTTGAAAGAATTAAATCAATATTTGTTTTAATAAATAAAAATGTAGTTTTCTTATGATTGTCAATAAATACATTTTTTATTAACAATAATTAAATAGAAAAGTTCAACTGCTACAACGACCATAAGTCATTTTGTCCTGAAAATAAAACATTTTATTTAAAAAAAATAATAATTTGTAGGAATAACATTGTTTTATCTATTTTTAAGACGTATTAATCTTAATAACAATAAGCACTTTTAGCGTATTGGAAATATAGTATTTACATAACGAAATCTACTTGTCTAGAATTTAGAAATATTTGGTAAACACTATACAAAAATGTAAAATTAATTTTAATTAAGTTATAATATTTAAAATCCAACTAAACCAATCTAATTTTGCATGAATTTGAAGTTTATACATTATAAATTTGTAAATATTAAAAATATTATTTATTATGTATATTGTCAAAATGCTAACAAAGTTATTTCTAGTTTGAAAATGAATATTATATCATAATAACGTGTTACCTAATTTTTACACTTATTGATTTCATAATTGGGTCACGAAGCACTTTTACGTATTGGAAATGCCCTTACGGTGATTACGTAAAGTACTCTAACTGGCTAAATGTACAAATATAGGCTAAAACCAAGGTCCGGAAACCTCTGAAAAAATAGCATTACATTTGAAATGGTCGTATTTAAATCATACTAACATTTATAAAAATTGGTAGAAATAATTATGATTTAAAACTTAATTTTATTAATTTCATTATTTATTTAAATATGTTGATTTTATTTTATTAGCTTAAATTTTCCATTAATCGAATATTGCAGTTATTTTGTGCTACTATTGTAGTATCATTATCGACCTATTCTGATATCATAAAATGTATTATTTATATTTATATAAATAAGTAATATCACGTTTGTACTATAAAAGTGTAGTGATCATATATGGATCAAATAAACCATACAAGAGTAATTGGAATCATTCATCAATGCTTGTATATTTACATTTTATCAATGTTAGTTATTTCGAGATGATTTATTTCCAAGTAGCTCTTAGTCCATTTAGAGAGTTTGTTTTTCAGCGTGTCTAGGATATTCATAGTGCGGCATCGCAGTTATTCTGAAAATCAATAGATATGAGAAAACGTTTTCCTTCAGAATTCGCTCTTTAAAAAGATAATGCACATCATCATCATGATTTAATTCAAATTTTATGTTTATTTATATTATTAGTTTTTTTTATATTATTCCTCGCCAGTATATAAATAAAGATTAGAAAATAGAAACGTAGTAATCCTAGTGTTTTCTGTTTTGTCCCTCTCCTGGTATTGTTGTATTTTTTTTTAGAAAACGTTTTTAAGTGGTGTTATTGCAGCGGAGCATAAACAAATTCACAATTGTTGCATTATAAATAATCCCGCGCTGGAATTTATTTATAAACGCGAAACGTTTTTAATAGACTGATAATGACTGGGCCGGGTTGTAAAGAAGTTCAAATTCTTCCGCGAGGCTATTTTAATTGTTCTATTTTGGGGATTTTTCGATGGTCCAAATTAAGAATGGCCACGCCGTTTGGAGGACAAAAACAATAGCAAAACAAGTTGCCTCCATTTTCACGCTATCCACGCGTTCGCTCTACTCTGCTCTGCTCCCGCATAGCATCGCATAGCGCATAGCGTCGCTATATTGGCGTTGCGCAACGAACCGTCGTTATCATGGCTATTACTGACGATGCTGATTATGATTGCAGACGTACGTTACCGATATATTTCTTGCACAAAGTTGGCGCGATCCCAGATTGCGTCTGCCGGAAAACATGAGCGAAGAGTACCGCATCCTAGACGTGGACTGGTTGCACAACATATGGCGTCCGGACTGCTTCTTCAAGAACGCAAAGAGTGTTACCTTCCACGAGATGAGCATACCCAACCACTATCTGTGGTTGTATCATGACAAAACCTTACTTTACATGTCTAAGTACTAATATCAACATTATCGTATTTTAGCAAGTAGATAGCAAAAAATATTGAAACTTGCGGTTCTACCATGATTTAATCTTCTTTTTCTCTGCTTAGCTATGATAGAAACGTTTCTTAATATTCTAACTAAATCCTTAAAGCTAAAGTACTGTGCAAGGACTACTAGTTATCTATTTATATAATACTATTGAATACTATTATATTCTGAACAAAAAACATATTCCTTTAGGTTGACTCTAGTCTTATCCTGCGCAATGAAATTTGAATCTTATCCGCACGACACACAGATCTGCTCAATTATGATAGAAAGTTGTAAGTACATAGATTATACATTTGCACTTATGATCTTCTACCAAAAACACCGCCAGTATCTCACACAGATCACGATTTGGTGTTCATTTGGAATATGACGGATCCGCTGGTCGTTAATCCGGACATCGAATTGCCACAACTGGATATTTCAAATAATTATACAACGGACTGCACTATAGAGTATTCCACCGGTTAGTTTCCATCTCGATAGTCTTATATTATTTAGATAATTTTTTATTTCGTTTTGGGTTTTAGGGAATTTTACCTGTCTGGCAATCGTTTTCAATTTACGAAGACGTCTGGGATACCATTTATTCCACACGTACATCCCTTCGGCCCTAATCGTCGTTATGTCCTGGATTTCGTTTTGGATTAAACCCGAAGCAATTCCAGCCAGGGTTACGCTCGGCGTCACATCATTATTAACATTAGGTAAACGATCTGCGATCCAATCGACTTTGGATTACAATTGTGATCAAATTCGTTTTCTTATAGTATACATATTTTTTTTACAAAAGTAAGAATAATATTATAATAGAATGAAAACAATACTTAACTTAATTCTTTCAAGTTTTTTTTTTTGAAAAATAGAAATTATTAAATTACGACATATTGTCCCAATAAGATTAGGGTTAATGATGACTTTTCGAAAAAAAAATAACTTATTGCAGGTTTCTGATAGTCTTTTGATAGAAAAACTACAAAATTTATATTAAAATTACTATAAGTACAATTACTACAAGTATATTTTTAAAAACTTATAATTACAATGACGCAACGTTATTGTTCTATGGTAATTATAATGAATTGTGATTCTGCTATAAGGTATTAAATGGATTAAAGTAAAGATGAAGATTTGTATATAATGAAAAGTATTGAAAAACGTTTGAGTCCTTTGGTTTTAGCTACGCAGAATACTCAATCTCAGCAGTCCTTGCCGCCTGTCTCCTACGTGAAGGCCATCGACGTGTGGATGTCGAGCTGTTCGGTTTTCGTGTTCTTATCCCTCATGGAGTTTGCGGTGGTGAACAATTACATGGGGCCGGTGGCGACGAAGGCGATGAAAGGATACTCCGACGAGGACCTGCACTCGGATGTGAACGATTATAAGGTCAATAAAAAATGTTTATTATTCATAAATTCCGGGCGGGGCGCGTCGCATCCCTGGCGCGCGCCCAAATCCTTTAAATTCGTGTTTATGGCCGAGGCCGACGCCAAATTGCCTTGTATGGCATTACAATTATATTCATAATTATGTCCCGTGCATAATTCGGAGTTCTAGCCTGAGGATGAAGGAAAAACGAAGATGGAAAAAGGAAGAATGGTCGATGGTCGGCGATTTGTTCATTTTTGAAAGCGGGGGTTGTACAAAGGGCGCCCCCCTCAGAAATGGACGCAATAAATTTTTGCCGTCTACGAGGGCGGTTCGTATTGATTTACTCGGCGGTTTCGCTCTCGGTTATTTTTTTTCTTCTCTGCTGTTCTGGCTTTCACCCTACTCATGGGTGTGTACTTTTTGGTTTTGATTAGAGATGCAACCAGCAAATAATTTGCTGTAAAAATATTTTTATTAAATTTACATTTTAATACAATTTTAGTTACACCATAAAAAACTTTTAGATTCATAAAATTAGTCATTTTATTTAGAGAACTTTTGTTCTCAAAGTTTTGTATAAATGAAAATTGTATTACATTATTTGAAAATAATGCATTAACCAATATAATATTTGTACTTTCTTATATTTATATTTTAAAAATAACATAATTAATTAGTTGTTTTTTTTTAGTTTATGTTAAGAAATTTGAGATTTCATTTCATTAAAAGTCTATTTTTGATGAATTAGATATTTGTATTTTTTTTATTAAGAAAAGTAATGATTTTTTTTATAAGTTTTAAAGAAAACGTATTTTAATATTACATGTTATTCATGACAATGCACATTTTATTGAAATGTAAATCATCTGCAATGCATTAATCATAAGGATTCTGCAATACATTGTAATAATTTGGACTTTTGATGTTAAAAATTCAATTGTGACAACATAAAATCCTTGTATAAATTGAGTTGAATCTATTTGTGAATCATTGATACTGAAGTATGTTTCGGTGTCGCTGTTGATTTGATGGTATATTTTATTGTTCCAGGACATGACTAGGTCGAGGCTTGGAAGTTCTCAGCCACAGTACGACACGTTCTGCAACGGGCGCAGCACGGCCCTCTGCATCGACCAGTTCTCGCGGTTCTTCTTTCCGTTCTCGTTCTTCATTCTGAACGTGGTATACTGGTCCACGTTCCTTTAACGAGCCCAGATCGACAAGGCCAGGACCTGGATCAGGACTGAGAGTAGTCCAGGACCTGGCTCGCGCATCGGTACTGCCGCGGTACTATTGCCTTCAGCATCAGTAGCATCATCATCATCAGCAGCAGCACCACCAGCATCATCATCAACAGCAGCAGCATCGAAGCCAGCACCGGCGGCACCGTTATCCTAATCGATCTCACCGGAGCACCACCGCGACGGCACCGACGTTCCGTCCCTCTTCCTCCAAGTTCGGCGCGGCCGTTTAATTGCTGCCGACTGTGTAATATAAATGCAGCAGTTGCAGAGGTCGTTAGTTCTTATTGGAAATCGTCTGCAATCGTAACGACGCCTGAACCGACCGACGTCGACGTCGCCGTCCGTTCGCGTCGCCGCAGTGCCACAATAAAGTCGACGCCACATTTAGTCGGCGACCAACATTCGTGAGTTCAAAACAGACTCAAAAAATGTACCGTGCTACGAAGATGATCCCCGGCCAACAACTACGCATATAACGCTGTATAAATAACGTAAGGGTGTTGCGGCTACGGATTTAGCGCGATATTTCAACACACGTACACACACACACAAACGCACACGCACATACACAAATTCGGAACGTTATATACGTATGTATATATATTGGGGCATGTGACGTGATAGATGGACCTTCCTTTTTTCTGTTCAATAAGCTCATCTCTTTTTAATCGTGTGACGTCATCAGTCATGTATGTATGTATATTATATATATATTCTATTTCCTCCTGAAACCGACTCACCGTGTATATTTTTTCCTCGTGTCTTTATTTTTATTTCACCATTTTTCCTCATCTTGTCTCCGCATCCAGAAAGTGTACCTTCCAGCCTCACTAACGAGCGCATTTACCACTAAATATATAAATACATACACACACACATACTCACAAACATATATATACACACACCTCTCACTCTATTTTTTTTGTCTCCCTGTCTCTGTCTTTCTATGTATACCTATATACATGTATCATATAAATAGATTCAAATATGCTTTTATTCACGTGTGTGTGTGGATGTGTGAATTCCGCGTTTGCTCCTCGTTCTCTCCACGACGGACGCGTGATATCGGGGAAACCGTGCGGCGTTACATAACGCCTTTTTGTAACCCCGAAAGGAAAACCTCGCTTCATTTTCCGATTAGTCCGAGCAAAAAAAAAGAAAAATGAATAATTAAATAGTTGCTAAAAGCGAAGGGATGATAATCGAATTCGGATCGTGTATTTTGAAAAGGTGCGTGTTGGCGCCAATAGTTGCACGCGGTGCGCAAATGCGTGTGCCAGTTGTGTGCGCATAACGCAATTACCGGGAGCGCGCAAAGCGAAAAAAAAAATTCAATTTTCCCTGTCGCGCGATCGTAAATAATACCGGTATTTTACGCGCGTTAGGATAGCCCGTAGTATATATATATTTTTTTAGTACATGTCGTATGTGTATCTCTATTATTTTGTTTTCTGTTTTGTTTTGTATTTGTTCTCTCTTCTCTCTCTCTGGAAAGGTATGAGGAGGTCCGCACTGTGCGGTAGGAATCAATGAAGAATACCTTCATGGTAATGGGACAGAAGAAGCAACTTGGTGCCTTCCGGTGACCTTAAGGAATGTTTATCCCAGATACACTGCGCAGCTGCATGGTGGAGCCAGATGTATCTTCTTATCTGCAAACTCCGTCGTCGGGACAGGTGCCTTTACGCTGCTACCCTACGCCCTTTGTCCTCTCGCGTCGCCATATGTAATTAACATGATTAACATGAGTGTTTCTGTAACTGGTTAATAGAGTTGGTGCCGTCTTGTTGGTAAAGAGACTATTTCCTTCCCCCACGAGCATTCATGCAAAAATTTCGAACGCTAACGATAATATCAATGATAAAAATTATTCAAAAATTCACCGAGAAACGAACGATAAGCTAAAAGATCACCAGCCCGACCAGCATTTCTAATTTAGTGGTCATCAGCGCATGGCCCCACTTTGTCTAATCCGAGCCTCCACGTTATATAAATAACTACTAGACATGCCCTTGTGTGTGCCGCACCACGTGCTTGCTCTGCAAAACCCGAACACATCCTTTACCCTACCTCACATGTAGATTATTATTGTAGTACCATTTGGCTCGTTATTTTAGACCGCTCCCCCGCTTCAAGTTGAGCTGCGCAAATTAGATGGTTTTATTAGACTTATAACGGAACCGTGGAAGGAACTCAATCAAGTCCCCCTCCCCACAAGATTGGCATCAACTTCTTTGACCATTCGATGTTGATTGTTGTTGGAAAATCTTACCTGTTATGTTGTGTTGTTGATGTTTGCCTATTGCTATTAAACTGATTCACTCCTTGCTAGGTACTAAAAATAGCCTAACTATTTATAATACCAGAATTTAGACGAACTTGTATAACCCGATCGCAGGAAAGTCATTTATTTCAAGCCTCTTAAACTTTATGTCCCTATCTATGGTGGATATTTAAAGATATATGGGATCATTTTATATATATTTATATAAATATATATATTTCATAACATACATAATAATATCATAATTTGTTACTACTTTAATCGGGTCATTATTTTCCTTATTGTTATTATTGGTCATTGCTGAAAGCGGCGCCCTTACTGTAAGAATCCTCATACGCCGGGATCCGTTCACATATATATTTATATACGCCACCATCTTCAAAGTTATGCGAAAAACGATTGAAATGCATCAAGCGAACACAAGATAGGTTCACGTATCGTATACATTTTGATTTTTTTCTTTTCATTTATTTTCCTTTTCTTTTTTTATTTTTCCTTACAGTGCAGTGACTGTGTGCATGTGAAACAAATATATTTGCATATTATTTATTTACTTGATATTTTTCTCTCTTTCTATCTATATATACATATATATTGTATCTATCTATATCTCTTTCTCGCTGATATATCTGTACATATGCGATGTCTCGTTATATTTCTTTTATTTTCTTTGCGTTTTGTTTTGAAATGCGTTTTCTATCGTAAATTGCATTCCTGTTGGTAATCTTTCTGCATACTGCCTGATGTGTCTTTTACTAATTGCGTTTTCGTTTCTTTACTACTTACAAACTTTTTTTTCTGTTTTCTTTTTGTTTTCATTTGTTTACTAATTAAATCTATCCGTTTTCTTTTCGTTTCGCTATTTCTCTATTATATATACGGAAAGCGCGATTAAATGTGATCGCTTTTGCGGTCCCAGGCAAAAACCATACTAAACAATTCTTATTGTGTCTAGGACGAGTTTCATCCCTTCATAGAAGCTCTACTGCCCTTCGTTAAATCTTTCTCTTACACATGGTTCAACCTACAAGCAGCAAAACGTAAATATTACAAAAAGCATGAGAAACGAATGTCTTTAGAGGAGGAGAGGCAGTGCAAGGAAGCTTTGCAGGTAAACACATTCACTTTTTTATTTATTATTTAATATATTTTTCGTATCATAAAACACAGCAAGATCAATATAAAATTGATTTATATAATATTATTATGTTTTACACAAATATATCATAATAAAAATATATTATAATTATTTTTAATTTAAGTTAAGAATATTATCGTTTAAATGATTTTGTATTAAGTATGTATAAGGAATTTACAAAATAATTAGAAAATCTATAAAACAAGAAAATAAATTTCAGAGAATCAAATAAAATAAATGTTACATAAGCTCAATCCGTTCAAGTCGTAGAAAAACGTGTGTCATAATACGTTGATTAATATTGTGTAATGTATTTAATATCAAGAGAGTATTGACCGGCGTCTTCCTGTCATTTATATTTATAGTAGCAAACATTTAATATTTACTTCATAAATAAAACGTTTCAATTATGAGAAATGGAAAATTTTATTTTATATTTTACTTATATAATATATAAAATAGAAATATTATTTTTTAGGTAAACTTTGTTTTTATTACATTAAAAAAAAACTTAATTGCATAGAATATAAAACTTACAACAACAAAAAGAAGGTACGGAAACAGAAATGCATTTACGTTGCAATCTAAAATAAGATACGAGTATTGGGATTTGTATTTTGGCAGGAATACTTCTTACTTGATTTATGTGTATTGAGAATTTGTGACTTGCTTTCAAAGCGAAATAGTTTCCTGCACATTACGACTTTTATATAACTTTACAAAGATTCTTTTTTATTATGTTTGAAACAATGCAACAACAAAAATATAGCAACGAAAACTTTTTAGAAGCAAAGATAATTTTAATGTAACAATCATATGGAATTTATCACTTGATCATAGAAATACCGGGCAGTTATATAATAGGGTGTCAGACGGAGAGTAAATGTGTGTTTCCCAGGTATCTAAATTTAGTTGAAAATCTGAGGGCATCTCTTGCGCCCACGTCAAAAAAATTTCGTAAAACCGTATTTCTGTTTGTCGAAAAACAAAATAGCACAAACGTATGCACCCACATATGTAGAAACGGAAAGCAACAAAATAAATAACGATGATATATTGAATGACAATATTTGTTTTCATTCCAAAATAACCTTATATATTTTTTGGAATATTACGAAACATTTTTTGTTATAGAAAAAAATACTTATATAAATTATTGAAAAATATATTGTTTTGGTAAGGAAAACAAGAAATTCATTCATTTATGATTTGTTAAAAATAAATACATGCAATTACGCAAGATTCACTGTATTTTCAACGGTAAACAATATATTTATTGTTAGAATTTACGTAAATAAATATTTGAAAAATATATCTTTTTCATATTAGAATTTACTCAACTTTGTTTAATAGTAATATATTATGGTTATATGTAAAATTGTATGAAAGATCAAAGTAGAGTAGAAAAGTACTGGCTTTTGTATTCGTTAGTTGTTGAAATGAGAATTGCGAGTAGTATAATAGGATGTGGAAATGTCTGGGATTGGAAATGAAATGGAAACGGTTTTTTATCATAGTATAAAAGGTTTCTCTTTATATTTCTTGTTCCCGCTGTATTACGTTGGATCTTTTGTTTGTAGAATGAAAAGGCTGAGGTGAAACAGAAATGGGCGTCGCGTTTGTTGGGGAAATTGCGTAAGGACATAACACAGGAATGCCGAGAGGATTTCGTCCTGAGTATAACGGGTAAGAGGCCGGCCGTCTGCGTGCTCTCGAATCCCGACCAGAAGGGAAAGATGAGAAGGATAGACTGCCTGCGGCAGGCGGACAAGGTTTGGAGGCTGGACCTCGTGATGGTGATACTGTTTAAGGCCATACCGTTGGAGAGCACCGACGGCGAGCGGCTCGAGAAGAACCCCGACTGCACGCAGCCAGGACTCTGCGTTAATCCTTACCATATCAACGTTTCCGTTCGAGAGCTCGATCTCTACTTGGCGAACTTCATAAACAGCCATGGTAAGAGACGACCGGCATCCTGACTTCTTTTGTTTTGTGAACATTTCTCTTCTTTTTTTTTGGTTGGTTGGTTCTAGAAATCCTAAGCGGGGTGTGTTACAACAATAATAATAAGAAAGATGACGATAGGAAGAACAAAGGTAAATCATTTCGTTGGTGTCTCGTGCAATAAGATTGTATCATTCTGGCAGTTACAGGATACACTCATAACCCATACAATGGTGTCATATGCAATGATATCATTTTAGCGACGGGCGTATTCTCCTCTAAAGAATTGTGGAAGTTGTCGAAATGTAAGTAACTTGAAAAACTATTGGAGGTGCGATGTAGTTTTGCGACCCTAAACGGCATTAATCGATATGTGGGTCAACTGTCTCTCTCTCTATCTTTCTATCTATCTCTCTCTATCTCTGTATAGATGTATATCTAATCTATATAAATATATATACGTACACGAGCGCAAGAAAAGAATGAAATATAAATATATACAATATATAAGAAAATGATTTATATGCGGGTGCATTAATCGCGCCTTTGTTCCAGCTTCCATCCTGCATGAGCTCACGGAACCTCAGCCCAATATAAACAGCGTCAAAGTGGAACATCCGGCCTACTACTGCAATAGTTATCAGGATCAGGGTTCAGTCGTTTCTGATCGATCAGCTCCAGTTGATGCAATGGTCGTTTCTGGCGCATACTGTAAGTGGAAGTGCACCCATACATTTCTTCCCATCCCCCAAAATTACGAACTCTCCGCAACCCTACACATACACATGCACACATATACACACCGACACATAGATTTTAGTCTGGCCTATGAAAATCGATAATGTGTGTAATCGCGCCAACATCCCAGACGACGCCAACCAAAAACCCCCGATCCCTAGACCACCCTTGCATCCTGCGGATAAATGAGATGAGAATACCGACGTAGTTAGTGACTTCTGAAAAATACTGGTTTTTGAACTGCAGTGTTTTGAAACAAAAACGATTTTTTCAAATCGTTTAGACAAAAATGTCATAAATTTTACATATTTATTAAATAGTAAGATTGTTTTTGAAAATAAAGTTCGGAAAATGTTATTGGCACGCGGCTCTGAAGAGCTGCGTATTATTAAGCAATTCCGAACTATAAAATTTTAATGGCCTCACATTTAATATGCAATAAAACTCTTCCTCCTCCGCCTTACTATTATTTTATAATTTGTTCATTATTTCGTCAGACGCGATTTCGTGGAATTTTAAATGATTCTTGTATTTTTAGCGATGCCTCAAAATACCACGCTAGTGTCTTCCAGTTCTCAGTCGACCAGTCCGAGCACGTTGTTTTATCAACACAGTCCAGAGTCGCACCAGCACCAGCACCAAGTGAAGTATCCCGAAAATGGACACGACACACTCTCAGACTTTGTCACATTTGTTTGCCAAGAAACCGACAACAGTTCACAAAACTCACAGGTAAATACTATTCATTTATTTCAATCATACATCTGGGTACAAGCTTATCCAATTGGATTTATAACTAATGCAGCAACAAACATATTTACATGCAACATTGTGTATTTTCTAACGCAGTTATTCCACATTTTTAAAGACAACTGTTTACTTTCATCGAATTGCTAAATACGCAACTTTCTCAGAAACCTACTTAAATTTAACATCAGGTAAAACTGAGTGACAAGTTTCTGAGAATTTGCAGAATTGCATTAGTTACATCAAATTTTAAATAAATATGTAGAATATAAAAATAATTTTTTTTTAATATTTAACTAAAGAAAAATTTTCATTTGATGTTGTTTCTTTTTGTTGAAGAATAAATGTAACTGACATTATATTTGTTATATGTAAATGTAAAGTTGTTATATGCTATAAAAATTGTAGTTTAATTGAAGTTGATTTTATGTTGTTTAATTTTGTTGCAGATGCAGGCAAATTTGTCTCGTAGTCCAAAATCTCAATACTTCCCTTCGATGTTGCCGCCGCCTCCTCTTCCGCCCATGGCTCGTCCCGTAGCAATAATCCGATCGACAAACGACGTGACCATGTCTGGAACACACTCGCCTCCAGTTAGTATAACGCCACCTGTTAGCGAGACGTCCCCGGTTGACGAAGTACCTGAAATAATTGCATCCCCTCCATTAAGTCCGAAAAACCAAGAGCGCCGAAACTCGCCCTCGCAACGAAACAGCATCCCCACGACAAGTCCCTATTCGCCCAACAGGGATTACGCCTTCAACCATTTCCACGGGCAGACAGGACATGTTGGTAACGCACAGCATGAGCCACCAGACATCAAATCTGACCAGATATCATTTTCATTTCAGCTCTACAACTACCATATGGGGATGTCTGGTGCTATCAGTCCTACCAATCTGAGCCTGTATACAGCCGGTTCGAATCCCAACAGAGGAACACGCTGTAGCACGATGTCGCGATGGAACCCGCAACTGTTCGCCCTGGATCAGGAGGATTTCAATATGATCTCGCATCCGATCACCGGCAACAACTCGGAGCCGAACACTATCATCCTTATGGACGAAGCTTCCGCAACAACCGGTAACGAACACGGAAACCAATGTTGCAATAGTTCCACGCTGATCTGCGACGCCGATCGATTCTTCCAATCCACCGAAGGACTCGAACACACGACGCCCCGGGAAACAGATTCAAAAACTCCATGAAACGAAACAACGATACCAAAAGAAATCTCTCTCTATCTATCAACCTACCTATCTACTACAATCTCTCTCAAAAACTATACAGACAAAATGACGACGAAACCAAACCAAAACAAAACAAAAAACTAAAAAAAAACAAACTGCCTTACAATGCAGCTTTCTTGCCAAGTTTATGTGTGATGATTATTTTGAGATTTTATAATTTCGCGCGCGTATTGGTGCTCAACTAGCGTAGACTAAATATAGAATATTTAGTAATTTAAGGAAGTATTTTGCCGTAATTGGATAGTACGCAAATCATTAGTGCGAGGACTGGTGGCGTTTATATATTTTTGGAATCATCGACGACACGGAGAATTGTTACCTCTATTAACCATGGTTCGCAAACCGCGAATTCATAACTAGACAAAAAAATAATAAGATGAATAAGAAGAAAAAGAAGAAGAAAAGAGAATATGAAATGAAGAGATTTTTCGATATTTATATATATACAAATTTTTAAAATTTAAACGCCGCGCGGTGCTGCACGACAGTTTTGGACTACAATATTGATGATGGTGGATAATTCACCGATGCCAAGGTGTGTGTGTATTCTGTAAGTCATAAATCGGTTATTCAACATGCTATATATATATTATATATGAGAAATTATTATTAAGAAATACGGTGTTGATATTTTTCTTGTATTCGGAAGGTGGACAGTTTCGCGGTGCTTTTTTATACCAAAATTTTTGAATATGAGATTTTATCAGTTACAGAATACGACCCCAAAATGAGACGAATAGGCTGTGCATTGCTCTAGCCATGGACGCGAGTCCTTATTGATATAATAATATAGTCGGTGACTTATTTTGTATTCCGTTCCTATGTTGGGTAGAATATCCAGCGCAGCTGTCTTCCACGACTGTGCTTATCGTTGGTGATGGTGACTTCTTACAACGTTCAAGCAGTAAGCTGGGTCTGTGCCTTAGTATTACAATAATATTGATACCGTAGTCTAGTAATTAGAGACGTTAAAAAAAAACAAAGATTTTTCGACTAGAATTCAGTTGCAACTCAGATTCAACACGAATCTGAGCTTCAACTCTGCTCCAGTGTATTGAGCTTGCTCACAGCACAAGTCGGCTCACTAGAATACTATCAAGGTGCATAGTTTCCAGACAACAACAAAAATAATTAAAAAAAAGAAGATGAATATAAAGAAAAATAATAATAATATTAACATTAACAAAGAGAAAATGAATAAAAAATAAAAACCCCAAAAACCGATAAGGGTGTAATTAGCTAAAAAAAAAATAATAATAATGTACATAAAAAAAATATTTATATACCTAGAATTATATATAGCCGACATCGTCTTTACAAATTTATTCGCTTACGAAGAAAAAAAAATGATGATGATGATGAATTAAATGAGAATTTACGGAGCGCGGTTCGATGGTTCCGGTAGGCTGCGACCACTTATCCAGACACAAGTAGGTGGTCACAGGCTCACCATCAATTACCAAGCTTAGAGGTCAATAAATTTGGTACTTGATAACTATCATTAAAGTAGTCCCCGCTCGACACAGGCGGGGATGTTTCAGGTCAATTCTTAACAAAACAAAACAGAGTCCCCTCGAATCGCGCCCCAGGATCAGCCTTATGAAATATATAATATATAAATATATATATAGTATAATATATTAAACGCATGTCGGCTCTATATAGAAACGAAAACTGTGATTGAGTTTCTTTTCGAAGCAATGGCGGAGGAGACACGTTTGTTATTCATATATTAATTAATACTATTCTATACATATTTTTTTTCTCTATCTCTATCTCTCTCTCTTTCGTTGTTTCTTCCAAAACTTTTCTTCTGCGTTTCCTATTGTTTAAGGAAAAACGAATCCATTTGAATATTTACTGAAGGTCAACAATCTTACTTTCTTTATATATACACGTATATATATTCATATGTATATATACTTGTATTTATATAGATATACATATATATTTGCCACCGAAACATCCCTTAATGCCCATTCAATCCACCCAAACAAACAAAAAAGCGAGGTCAACGCTCTACCACAATTCCTTTCGAACCTCTCTTCTAGTCACAACAATAGCTCAGAGTGGCTCCAACTGAGATATACGTATAAATATATAAAAAGTATATATCTATATTTATATCCCATGACACACAGGAGAACTCTTCTTTTTTTTCCGCAAAATTATCTTTCTCTTGTCCTCTTTTCACGATTCCCCCAAACCCTTGTCCACATTTGAATTTTTGATGAAACGAATGAAGTACACTTACGGTATTATTGTACATAACATCTTTGTTACTTATATATTGTACTTATAGAATCGGGTGATATTATATAACCAGTGCCATAATATTGTTAACTCAATTGTTAGACGCTTTCATGCGTCAAAGAAATTAGTGTTGGTTATTATATTATTATTATCATTATTATTACATATTATTATTATTATTACTGTAGAAATGTATTACTTTTTAAGTTATTAAAATCAGAGGGTTTATTAAAAAAAAACGAATGGAGTTTAAATTTTATTTTAGCTTATATTGGTTTCTTACAATTTTCTTAGTTTGCTGAAGCAATTGAATAAAAATTGTTGTTTTATTTCTCCATCCTTAAAGAAGTGTCTTGTGTTCAATGCATCCTATGAAGATTATTTTGATAATACCCAGCGTATCCAAGAAATTTCTATCCACTTAGAAATACCCGTCGCATCCACCAATTTGAAAATACTCAACGCATCCATCAATTTGATAATACCTGGTGTATACACCAATTTGATAGTACCCGCCGTGTATACCCATTTTGAAAATACCCGGCGCATCCACTAATTTGAAGATACCCAGCGGATCCATCCAGTTGAAAATACCCCACGTATACACCACTTTAAAATCATGAACAAAGCATTCACAATCCACGACATAATATTATGTTGGATCAATCTGTACATTTTTATATTAAGGAACAAATCAATTAAATAAGAAATGAACATATTCTTTAGTTTACATATTTTTATTAGATTACATTTCTATCTACTAGGATTATGAAATTATTTGCAAATTATTGTAATAATTTTAAACTTATAATTTTCAAATTTCAAATATAGAATAAAAAAAAACGTATTTATGAATTACTTTACTAATATTTTATTAAAATGTATAAAGTATGTACAAAAATAGTATTTCCCATTTTTTTTAAATTTGGAAACATATCCAAATATATTTTATTGATATAGTTTTAAGAAACTACTACAGTTACAATTCAATTGTCTGAAGAAAAAAAAAATAATTTTAATTGATTGAAAATAAATTTGTTAAATTGATTTATACAATCATAATTATAAAACAAATAAAAAAACAACGGTTACAATAGGTCATGGATCATTGAAATTTATTATTTAAATTTTTCCAAATTAATTTTAATTCAGTTTGGTCATTTTTGTTTTGTAAATGTTGAAATAAATGTTATTTCTAAAATATATGAAAAGAATCAGTTTTTAAAACGAAAATACAAAACAATTTAATAATAGAGAAGATTACTACTATCCAAGTTAAAATATTTTACCGATTCATAACAACGCGGACAGATGTCGCCTCTATACGTATTTCAAAATTTGTTCGATGTGATTTTAATAATGTATATGCATTCGGAATGTAATTAATAATGGTATTGAAAATGCAACGAAACGTAAAAATGGCCGTCCGTTTGTCTAGCGAAATAGTAGGATCCTTTTTAATCCTTAGGGAGGATTTTAAATCTGTTGGATGAGGTTTTAGTATATAAGAAAAATGTAAATCGGATGGTGTAATCTGGCGATGACAAGCGTCACATGTGTCAGCGCAATAAAATTAAATTTCTTTTCCGTTTTCCAACGACCCCCACCACCACCCACTGGGGGCGGCAGCAAAAAGAATGGCCGAAATTTCTTGAAATTCGAATTATCTACTTTACATTCATTTTAAATTTAGAACGAGAGAGAGAGAGAAAGCGCAAAGTTCAGACCCACCGCCTTCAGCATCGACGCCACCCAATCCGCCGCCGTCCCCCAAGCGCCGAACGTTTTTAATATTTAATTCCGTTTGATTTACGATTTCAGCGAAGTTCGCTGTGAGAGACCGAGTGTCAGCGCGACTGGAAACTTGGATTTCCGATTAGGGGGCGGCAACGTCGTGCAACACTTGCACGGATTTCAATATTTCGATGATGATTGATCGCCGTTATTATGAGTGCTTTCCTTATTAATTAAATTTTTCTTTTGGAAACGACGACGTGCCAAAACATTGTCCTTTAATTAAGGAGTTGGACTCCTGCGTTATTTTATTTTATATAGTTTTTTTTTGGGTTCATCCTTTTGTGCCCTTGCACGGAGGGTAATTAGGACGAGGGTGGCTCTGGGTGATGATCAATCAGTGTTTTTCTTTTTGTTGCTATTATGGCTATGGGGTTGCGGAGGGTCGGACTTTGTGGGGTGCAGTATGATGGATTTGTCAGAAAGTTAATCCATCTTTATTGGATTATGTATTCCATCCTATTTATCTATTGTATCTAATTATCTATTCGACGATTAAATGGAACGAATCCCATCCAACGTCTCCCAATTACAATTTAATAATCAGAGTGAATGGGCTTTCGTAATTAAATTAGAAACTTTACACATGATTATGGTATTATGCATCCAAGCTGCACACAGTTAGATTTATTTACTGTTATATAGAGCATTGTACCATATCGAACTCTCGAGTAATAAACACTATAAATAGAATATCATTCAACCACCTACAATTACGTAATTATTGAAATAGTAATTAACTAATTCAAATTAAAAACAAAATTTTTAATCAAATATTTCGATTATTTAGTATACTTTCATAAATTTTATTAACTTTTTTTTACATATACATCTTTACTGTAATTAGTTTGAATCGTTATAATTTTTATATATTTTTTTTAAACATCTATTTATTCATCTTATATTTTCTGAAACAGAAAGTAAATCGTATTATATCTTGATTTTAATGTCGTTAACAAAGCATTCAAATTGTGAATTTGACTTCTGTTTAAGTCAGATTGAAAAAAATATCAATTTCCTTCAATAACTCGTTTTAGATAAAAAAAAAAACGAGAAGGTCTGACTGAAAGAAAACTGAAATGCTTATATACCGAGTGTTCAAAATTACAGGATAATATAATTGAGTCTCACAGTAAAGTGTACGTTCATATGAACACTGTACGTTTGTGCGAACAAAGAGACAACATATACATATATTTTGTGTATAGAATTCATTTAATTTTCTTAATGTTTATTTTCTTAATGTAATTAAATTAGAAACTTTACACATGATTATGGTATTATGCATCCAAGCTGCACACAGTTAGATTTATTTACTGTTATATAGAGCATTGTACCATATCGAACTCTCGAGTAATAAACACTATAAATAGAATATGATTCAACCACCTACAATTACATAATTATTGAAATAGTAATTAACTAATTCAAATTAAAAACAACATTTTTAATCAAATATTTCATTATACTTTCATAAATTTTACTAACTTCTTTTTACATATACATCTTTACTGTAATTAGTTTGAATCGTTATAATTTTTATATA